GTTTCCTGCGGGGTGGCCGATTGGTCGGTCGGGGCCGCCCCGCCGAGCGCCGAACCATTTGCAAGGCGACCGAGCTGGGACAGGGCCCCGCGCGCTGGGACAGGGACCGGGGACCAGGGTCCGGGGACCGTGGACCGACCCCCTGGTGCTCGATAACAGTTTCCTTCCGAAGGGCAGGGAGCAGAAAGATGGCCCCGCCGTGGTTTAGGGGACACTTCTCTGCGACGTCGGCGTCGCCGTGCCGCCGGCGAATTTCTCGGCGGTTGGCTCCGCGCCGCGGGGGTGTCCCGCCGTGCCGGGGTGGGCGGCTGAGTCTAGAACGCTGGGAATTCTGCAGCGGCCGCCAAAGAGACTTGGCGAGTACTGGAATAACAAACGACCGCATGTCCTGTCACAACAGCGAGGACACCAGCAACAACAATGACTCCCCCCCCCCCACACACACATACACCGCCGCGGGCTGCTTGAGGATGGGCATCTTGTCGCCGGGGGCTGGGCGCATCAGCTCGGCCTTCCTCAGAAAAGGCAGACTGCAGTCTGATTCCTTCGTAGTCGCTCTGTCTCTCTCGCACCCCTAAGGACGCGTGTGCGAGAGGTTGTCTCAAGACTTCGACTTGTTGCCTACCTTTCAGGCGCCTTCAGGGGAGGCGACGCCCCCGCCACCCCTCCCAGGATCCGCGGCGGCGAGAGATACAGCACGACGAATCCGCCAGCTGGCTGGCGGCCAAGGCTGGGTTTACTGGAGGGCGCGTCTCGGCGCGTGTAGCCGTGCGTGTCGCCGTGCGTGCCGCGGACGCGACGCGGGGTCGCGGACGGGGAGGGTCGGGGAGAGTCGATCAATGCACGCAGATGCAAGCCGAGTGAGAGGTAGAGCAGTGGAGAGGGATGAGACCCCCACCCCTTCCCCCCTCGAACCTCGAAAACATAATAACCCGAGCCGCACCTGGACCTGGGACAGGCGGGCCCGGAGTCCTGGAGCACGATGTCGGCGGTTCTTCGTCGGTCCGTCCAGTCCGCCGCCCCTTCCCCTCCTTCCGGCCCGGGGCCATTAGCTGAAAAACCGCGACCCGGAGTGGGCCTGCCTCCCGCCTCATCTGGCGTGGCCTTGGCGCCGGCACGCCCCGCCCCGACCTGCTTCCCTCCTGCTCCCCAATTAAACTGGAAACCGTCTCGGCGTCAAGGAGAGCGCGCCGCAGAACACAAGCCCGGCGTTGCCCGCCCCACCCCCTTGCCGTGCAGGGTGGCGCAACGAGGAACTAACGTCCACTCCACTTGCCGACGGGGCGAACTTCCCCGCCACTGAATCCCTGCCGTTTGCCGAAAAAGGCTTCGTGGTTCGCCCCGCGCTGCGCGTGCTGCGTGCGCTTCGTGCTTCGCGGAGGCATTGTCGGGCATGGCGATAACGGGCAGCCATCGATCGCCCCGTCCGTCCAGTCCGCGGTCGCGGTGTCGTCCGGGACTCTCGTTCGCAGCGGCGGAGAGGGAGAGAGAGAAAGAAGAGAGGGAGAGCGCCTGCGGACGGCGGGGTAGGCAACCCGCCAGAGGCGCGTGCCGGCCGCGCGGCCTACCCTCGGTCCGCACGGCGCTCCCGGCCGGCCGGCTCTGCTCTAGAGGCTCTAGGGTCCCCGACGGGGCGGGGCGGGGGCGTGGGGCAGTGCCAGCAATTAGACAGTGTGTGTGTAGGCCGCGCAGTCGACGGGTAATCCTCCATGGCGGCGTGTGGCCTCCAAACCGGTGGTTCTTCGGCGTGCTGGCGTGCTGCACTCCGTCGTCGACACCGAGACCGTGCTTCTGTTCCAGCGTGGATGCCGGTGGGTGCCGAGGGGCTTGCGCCGTGCGCCGGGCTATGGGTCCTCAGCCAGGCGCTCGCCGAGGCCGCCGACGACGCCGACGACGCCGAGGCCCGCTAGGCGGTCCCGATGGTGCCGTCGCTGCGCTTCCTGCCGCGCTGGTGGGTCCTGGTGGCGGCGCTGCTGGGCGCGCTGCTCGGCCTCGGCCTCGTCGCCTGGCTGGCCCTGCAAGCCACGGCCCTCGTGACCCGCAGCGCGCTCGGCGCGTCCGAGACCGCCGCCGCCGCCGTCCAGCCCAAGTGCCCTGTCGCCTTCCCTGAGCGCGGCTGCCCGGCCGTCGGCCAGACGCTGCTGGCGCTACACTGCAAGGTGAGTGGAGTGAGTGAAAGAACGACCAACGACACCGAGACCCAAAACACACTTCCACACTTTGAAAATTCTCTGTCCAGGCTGTGAACGGCACGCTGTTCGAGCTCCATCTGTCGGACCTGTTCGCGACGCACATGGCGCAGGCTCGGAACGCGAGGGAGGCGGAGGACGACGACGGGGAGGAGGACGATGACGGCGTCCTGGAGCCGCTGGGCGAGGGATCCGCGGAACCACCTGCCGCGGACAGCTTGTTCGGTGAGAGGGGATACGTGACGACTGTCTCTGGCACTGGCACTTGAGGCAACCATTGGCCACTGTGCATGGGGTCAAGTTGGTCATTCCCTCTGGAAGCTGATGACGAACAGGGCATCATCGCTCTGCCTCTCTCGCGCCGCTGTGGCATGCCCCGCAGTGTGGGAGAGACAAAGTGACGAGAACAGTGTTCTTCGGAATCAGCCTGCTGAGCTTTCTCTCTATTTTCATTCGCAGTAGCCCAGACGCAGAACGCGTGGCGGAACCAAGCACTTCGCCGCGACCGCCCCCGGAAGTCCGCGGCGCCTTCGGGCGGCCAGCAGGGGGCACGGGGGCAGCATGGGCAGCGGCAGGGCGAGCGGCCGGGCAGGCACAACCGGCGCGCGCCCGACACCACCACCACCATGGTGTGCTACCTGCTCGTCACGCTGCTGGTGGCCTCGGCCGTGCTCGCCGTCGGCGAGGTGCTGCGCGACTGGTGGGCCAGCATGGCCGGCAAGGTAGTGATGCTGACCGTAAGTTACTGAATCGGCGACTGTCCGTGCCGTCCGCCGAGCTGACGCCCTTCTCGCGGTCGGCAGGCGCAGGCGGCGGCGCTGGAGGACGTCGGCCGCCCCGCGGCGGGCCTGCCCGGCATGGCCGCCCCTCCAGGGTCGGCGGCGGCGGCGGCCTTGGCGGCCGCGGTGGAGGCCAACCGCAGGGGCCAGTTCGGCCAGCAGCTGTCGAGGCGCTGCTCCCTCGTCGACCTGACCGTCAGCCGCCACGAGCGGCGCGAGTCCATGGCCGCGGCGCACGCGGCCCACGGCACGCACCCCAGCCACGCCGGTGGGCAGGCCCACGGCGCCCACGGCCTCGGCCAGGCGGGCATCGGTAAGACATCGCCAGGGACCGGCCTCGGCCTCCACGACGTGAGTCGCCTTTTCATTCCCTCAGCTCGGCATGATGATGGCATGGCTCGCAGCGTTTGCCTGGTTTGCCGAATCCGTAGTCCTGGGGCCCGCGCCCCGTCCCACCTCGCGCGACACCGGACAGTTTAAAAGTGCTTTATAGACCCCAACGAGTAGCAGTAGTAGCCATCCAGTCGAAATAGACGGCAGTACTGCCCAGATTAGTAGGCAACACAGTCCCGCCCGCCCGCGCTCCCGCCACACCGCCGCCGCCTTGGTCGGAAGGGTTGCCTTTCTCAGCCTGCGCCTGCTTATCTCTAGACTTACTAGCCCTAGGCAAACTGAGATAGGCAACCCTTCGCACAGCGTTAACGAGTGGAAGAGCAAGACGAGCACACACATTTTCCAGTCAGTACACATTACTCCGTAGGCGTAGACTTCGTATCCATTGAGTGACCCCCACGCCAGCCTGTCCTGTAGGTAGCATCGAGAGCGTGCCTCGAAGGCGCTGTAGGCAGTCCCCGCGTGTGCTCTGCAGCGCTCTGCAGTCCACGCCAAGGCCTGGTACCTTGCGCAAACTAGCTTCGTCAAATTGGATTACGTCACCACCAATCCCTGCCGAGAGAGGAGAGGAGACTGGTTGACGCTGTCGCTGAGAAGACGCTGCCGCTGTCTGTGTTCGCAGGGGCGCGGCCTCGGCCTCCACCGCTGTCGCGACGCAGCTCGTTCCCCGCTGCGCCGCCCCTCGGCCGCGGCCCTGCGGTTTGCCCATCCCCCGGGGGCGGCGGGGGGCGGCGGGGGCGGCGGGCGGCCACCTGGCGGCCTGGGAGAGCGTGGAGGATCCCTAGGCAGCGACAGCGCGTCGCCGCGCCGCCGCCCGTCCGTGTCCACGCCCTCGCTGTCGCTGGACCTGAGCGACGGCGACTCCTCGCCGGACACGGGCCGCAAGCGGGTGCGGATCATCCGGAGGCACTGAGCATCTTCATCGCACCCGCCGCGCGCCACGCGCCGCCGGCGATACTCCGAGTCCGAGGGCCGCGCAGATACTCCGTGCGAGAGGGGGAAGGACCTTCTCCGCTCCGGGGATTTGCCCTCACCCCGCCACTCCGCTCGCACTCCTCGCACGCACGTGGAGCCCATAGTCCTTGGCGGAGTGAGAGAGTAGCTGTGATGTGTTAGTCCTAGTCACTACCTGCATATCGATGTCACCTCCAGTCCCTCATAGACTGTCGTAGGATTTCGTAGACCGGAGTGAAATGAGTCGCCCGTTCTCGTTCAAGGGCTGGGCACTGCTGCCAGGGCGACAGGAACCTCTCAGCAGTGCCAAGGAAGGTTCAGAGGCTGACAGTACCTGAAAATGCGGAGATGAGTTAGTTGTGCCGTTCTTGACCATCTATTAATTTTACCTTTCCATTGTTCATTATTTTTGTGTAATGTCACATTATGTTGTTCAGTGCATTCCACTTGATGATTGTTGTAAGAGCACCTATGCTCTATCCCTTCTCTCCTCTATTTTTGTATAGAAATAAATTTGTGGCCTACAGTTGGAAGAAATTTTGAGGGAATGTGTTTTTGAGAAACTGCTTTGTGATGGCCTGTAAATGTAATTAGTAGCACATTTCTTTATACGGACAAATTCATGGTGAGTGAGTTTGACATGTATTGGTGAAATGCAGAAGGACTGAAAATAATAAAAAGCATGTGAGATGATTGAAAATTTATTCACTGAATACTCAAAAATACCCCAGGTGTGTGTGTATTTCTTTGGCAAAACATACAGGACAAAAAAGTGTCAATTGACGCCACTTGATTTGATCATTCAAATGGACATTGTGCTTGAAATACAAGATTCACACAGATCCAGAATTCTTTTGAGGCATGAACAGATATGCTCTGCAAGATATGACAGGAAAGTTTTACACTGTATCAAAATCCTATAATTTTAGAACCCGAAAATCTATTGGTTGCATGCTAAGTACAACTCACGACAGACACAAACAATACATATACCTAATATGAATAAAAAAAGGCCCTTGTGGTTTGCACTTATTGTTGTACAAAATATTGTGAAAAATGGATGCATTGGCCACAAGTATTTAAATTCAAAGCAAATTTTAAATCCTATTTGAAATGGATTTAAAATATGTCACAAAAGATCACCATGATATGAGCAAAACTTCATTTAAATTGATATGCTAACACTGAATTGGTAACCATCACTAATTTTAGTAACCAAAAATGAAAAGACTGGACACTTTCTAGGCAAATTTCCAAAATTATGAAACTAGGCAATGATGAGATAGGCAAGAATTGCTTTGGAAGACTAACACCTAATAAATAGCTTGACAATACTTTTAGAAGTACTACTAGGTCACATTAAATTAAAGGTATAGTACTTAAAATTTAAAATATAAAATCTCAACTGAAACATTACTCAAATAAAGTTACAGTGTTAAAACAAACAAGATAATACAAAAACAACAAAACAAATATCACAATTGCAAAAACACAGAATAACAAACCAAAGAAGACCTCCCACTAATACTATACAGGTTGGTGTGTTTTGTGCTGTAAACTTGGAGGTTAAATAAGAAAGCTCACTAATTACACTACATAGTGAGTCCGCTGAAAGCCCTGAGCTGCAAGTGAAAAAAGAAGGTCAAGTTACAAAAACTTTTCAAGTCCTTTAAAAAATATTTGGTTGCAACCAAAAGAAGACTTACCAATGCTATTAAGAATAACATTGACCTGTAAAAGCAAAGACCAAAAATGAGATATGAGGAACATCAAAAACAAAGTGGTACACGAGGAATACTTACTCGCTCGTCATCCTTCCAATAAAACACATGGCATGTGAATTCTTTAGCGATGTTACAGCTCTCATCTCTGTAATTTAAAAGAATATTTTGAGAAAACATGTGTAGAAGAGGCAGAAATATTAACATTATTTAAATACTAACCCAGCAATGTACCCAAAGTAACCCTCTCTCTCATAACTGCTTCCACACGATGATATTTGCATGAATGTATGGCGCATTAGAGTCTAAGCAAACAGAAATAATGAAATATAAAGTCATTATTATTTAAATTATGGAAAGTTTGGACAGGGGACAGTTACCTTTCCACTGCTCTGGTTGACAACTCGCACATTCATTTCTTGGCATTCCAGTAGCACTGGTTGTAGCGGACTTCGTTCTTCTGCTTTGAAAATTGTTTCCACAGCCGTTTCAACGAGACTGAAATCACCCTTAGCACCGACTGGGACTGAACCAGCATACATAACAGGATATCCAGTCCTAAGACAGAAACACAACTGCAGTCTCCAAATCATAAAACAATAAAATAGTTTTAACAACAGAAATCATACCCTTTTGTAACCATAAATGAGTCGTTGGCAGGTTTAAGGTAAGGGCTTTTCTTATCTGAGTTGGTAGTAGTGGAAAACTGCAGTCGTTCCAACTCTGAAGGATCAGCGTTTGCTAATCTCTTGAGAAATTGTAAAGGAGGGTATGGCTTTCCAGAGTCTGGATGATTAGCCTGAAGAGCACAAGCAAACAAATTTTGTGATGAAACAGAACTGTATCAAGGCCAAAGCTCATGATCTTTGGGAAAAACTTGAAGAAGTATGCATTTTATGACTTCACCTTTATTATGCTCAATGTAGATGGCTGCCCTATGTTTCGACGCAATGCAGTGGAGAGTCGTCCCTTCATAGTTCCTAATACAACTTCACCATTTAATTCTTCAAGAACATCACCGATTGAAATGGATTCCTGCACACAAATGAAATGCAGTGTTCTCATGAAAAACAAACAAATTAGCTTCAGCTGTATGATGGTTCACCAATCTCAATCTTGGAATACCAACGTTTTCAGCTGCCACACCATATTCTCTTAAACCAACGATCACACCTTTTCCTCGAACAAAACTGGAATGAAAATGGACTAAAATATAACCAATTGATAAGGAATTTCAAAGAAAAAATATAAGTAAAATGCTCACATTACACAAATTCCAAGCTCTTTGCTTGGGACAAATTCAAATTTTTGCCTGGGTGGTATAAGCCAGCTTTCATCCAGAAAAAAAGAGTTGGTAATATCCAGGTGGAACACAAGCTGGCCAACCTGATGCATCACTGACAGTAAAATTTCACCTAGAATTTCATGAGCTACAATCGAATTTGTACTGTGGTACCATCTGGATGCTAATTGTTGGTTTGAAACCTGTAGAGCAAAATCATTGTTTAACCATACTGACATGTAGTTTGAGCAGGTGATTTTTAGAAGAAAGGTACTTACAATCATTTCAATAGGTTTAAAGAGACAGTGGTGAGAAAGGCATGTTCGAATAAGAAGACGCATGCGTCCAATATTGCTGGATACTTTGGAATCCTTCTTCACAGAGCTGACTGCATACTCATAACCAAATGTGGCTCTGAGACAAAATATAATAGACCAAATTATTTCATGTAAAAATATGAATAGTACAAGAAGGCATGGTGTAAACATATATACCCTTTGCGTTGATCTCCAAAAAATGACATCCAAGTCCAAACATCTCCCTCCCGACCAAAACCCAGAGGTGAGAGCTGAGGCTTCAGTCCCTTAGAAAGAACTTTTTCCAGAGACTCACAGAATTTGACTAGTTCCTCACTTTCATCAGTAACTGGTGTCTTTTTTGTTCCATCAGATCCAAAGTGTTTTTCAATTAGAGTACGGAGGTGTCCTGCATGTAAGAAAGTTAAGAGAGGTTAATATATTGAAGACAAAGCAAACAATTAGCCATGTAATCGCTGAACAGTAAAAAAAAAAAAAAAAACAGACCCTTCAGTTCTTTGATTAAGGGGTCGCTTACAGACATGTCAACAGAGTGATAAAGAAAGAAAGGTTGTTGTTTTATGATAGGCTGATTATAAAAATCATTGACAGATACTGGTTAAGAAAAATAGGGTTCAGTTGGATTGCCACTTGAAAAAAAAAAAATTCATTTGTTCACGGAAGTGGCTATTTCGGGCTTGAATAAACAAAGGACTTAAAAGGAGGAATCATTTTGACTTTAGGTTGGTCTGTGACAGCAGTCCACTTGCTTTGTTGGTCAACTAGCAGACAGCCTGCCTAAACATAAAGGGAGGGGGATGTGACTATTCGCAGGTAAATCTGCGAGTAGTCACAAGGGACCGGGAACTGAGCTTACAACTTGAAGATCGTAAACACAATACCGGCACCGAGCTTCGCGCATTTGAAGTACTTGATTTTCTGCAAAGTGTCAAAATGTCCACGAACGCATTGTCTTTTTCCTAGGGAGTCCTTGTCCACGCCGGATGGACAGGACCAGCCAGGGCCAAGACAAAGTGGCGGGGAAGTCCCAGGGGCATTCTGTGCGGCGTACGTTAGTTTGGTTGAATAAAGAGCATGTGTGGATGGGTGCGGAAGAGCCAGTTCTTTAATTAATTGCCCTGTTGGCGCCCGCGCCAGCTTGCGCCAGCTCGTCGTGGCTTGAGGGCGAGTGACAGGATGGCAAGCAGGTCTTTCTCCGAGGAGAGCAGGGTCGACGTCAAAGCGCCCGGGTCGACGGCCAAGAGCTTCTCCGCCAGGGCCGCCTTCTTGAAGCTCTGGTACCGGGCCGACACGTACTCCACCATGTTCCCTCGCGGTGGAGGAGCTCCCGCTGCGAGGAATACAATCTTTAATGTCGAAGTTCCTTGCGGGTCGTACGCGCTGCCGTAGGCCTCCACGTGGCGCTGTCTTTCCTGCGACGTTAACCTGGCTCATCCTGGACCTCGGACTCGTGCTGCACGTGCTGCACAGCCTCCGAGCTCTGGTCTCCCCCGAGAGTGAGCGTGGAGTCACCAACACTCAACACAAACTCGCCATCGTCAAGGACATCCCCGTCGACGTCCTCATCGAGGTCCTCGACGACAACGTCCTCGTCCTCTTCTGCCAGCAATGCGTCAGATGACGTCATTGGAACGACGTCGGTGCTCGTGAGGGCGGCATGACAAGCCGCGCACGCCGCATGGACCTGGACGGGGTGGACGGTGCTGTCCACCTGCAGGCTGGCGGCGGCGGCGGCGGCCGGGGCGGCGAGGGCCTCCCTCACCCAGTGGCGCAGGTCGGCGCCGACAGCGTCTCCCGCCCCCGCGTCGCCCGCCGAGAGGCGGTCGGCGTCGTCCAGCGCGGCCTCCTGGGCCTCCTCGGCCTCCTGGCCTTCGAGGAGGGACGACAAGCTCTCGGGGCCCGGGTCATTGATGGTGTCGTCGAGGAAGAAAAATAATTCTAGAAAAATAAATGAATAGGTAAGTTTGAAAGCAACGGCCGGCCGATTTGTAAACTTGGAGCTGACTCATGTCATCATGCCTGCTTACCCAGAGGCCTACTCGGACGATTTCTAATCAAAACGGCCACCCCGAGGACGACCGCCACGATGCAGTACAGCCATATCTCGATCAAGTAGCGAGGATGGGACTGCACCGCGACAAGCAAGCTCGGTGCCCATTGACGCGATAAACGCCATGGCATGGTCATTCATGGTAACGAGTTACAACGCCCACGCCACTGTGGACTGCTTTGGACCCTTTGGACTTGAAGATAATTCGAGACCCGAGCGCGCCGCCCCTCTGAGCGGTGGCCATTGTTGCCATGAGCCTCGGAGGAAGAATCCCAAATGTGCTGTATTCTCAATTAGAAGTGGATTCCAAATTAGTTTCTTAGGTCAGCAGAGGGACGTTGCACAACGCGCAGTGCCAATTAAGTGGAAGTCGGAACGTTGTTCGAGTCCGCAGAGTCCAATCCAAATGGTCAGAGCGTCAGAGCCATGGTCAGTGCCAGTTTGAATTTTCCCGCTTAAATATCTCCAGCTGGTCTCTTCCGCGCTCTTCCGTGACTGTACTCCCCCTCCTCTAGTAGTGCCAGTGCTCGAGATTGAAAGTCTTTACAATTTTAGTCTGTGCTAAGCTCTCACATTTTACAATTTGAACAGGAAAACGAACTTTCTAATTTTTTTTAAAGAAAAGGGAATTATGTAAATGCGATTTTGATTGATTTTGTCTTTAGTTGAGTAGAAATGGATAAATATGAAATCAATATGACCTGTTACTTCCAATCAGGGTAAGAGATCTGCGTCCAATAATAAACAATGAAGTGAAGTTGTGATTTCTCTCCACTTGTTATCAGTTTATATTTCTCAATAACTTTTCGTGATTATCATTACTTAGGTTAGTTTGGAATACCTTTTATTTTATGAATATCAACAGTGGTTCTTTTGTTGTTACACCTCAACAATATTCTTCAATTTCAAAATGTTTGCTCATTGCTAGTAACTTATTTCCCTCGCGTTAAAAATTTGAACAGCGATTAATTCGTTGTTTTGGCATTAATCAATCTACATGGGATATCGAATAAATGGTACGAAGTCATGGTAGCAATTGTCAAAGGTTCAGCTAACCTTAATTTGTAGGTTAGTGGTAGTGGTAGGGAGATGCCATACATGTACTCCATTTCGTCAACTGCAGTCCCAATTTCGATACAAAATATTTTCCAAGCGCAAGTTGTGGTGTGTAATGTTTCCTGACTGTTTTAAAGTTGACGGGCCGTTTTTCTTTGCAGATGGAGTTGAAAACCTTGTGTTTGATCCATGACTTTCTAGTCGATCAAGAGTTTGATTTTGATGTTGATTGCATCAATTAATGACCATCTAGTGAGGAAGAAATCAAAGGGATGAGTGTATATAGACAATCAATTACAAATTACCTCATAATTTTTAAAATAGGACGATGGAGAAAAAGAATAAATCTAGAGGTAGGCATCGTGGTCAATTATTCCCTCTAATGAATTTCTCTGTTTTGCTGTTATTTATGCTAAGTGTTTGTTTGTTTCCAGTTGCAAGGAACTTGCTGGGCACTGAAACAATGGAGATGAAGTATTACAACAATTATGGGTTAGAAGGTGGGGAGTTTGGATGTTCCATTCCTACTAGTCTTTCTTCATCTGATTCTCCCCCAAAACTTCCTTTCCGTTTCCCACCACCCCCTTTCTTTGCATCAATTCCAAGAATCTCATCTAATAGTTTATCATTTGAACAAGGAGAGTCAGATAATTCACTAACAACAGGTAGTGCCTCTGATATTGAAGACAATTCAGACAGCCAGTCTGACGTAGCAGGTTTAGGTTGCTCAAGTATTACTTTAGGAAATGACCATGGATCTCAATTTCGACCAAATGCGAAAAAAGAATCAGGTTTGTATGTTTTCACTTAAATAAATTTTCACTTGATTTCACTTTTACTGCGGTTATTAATCTTATTGTCCCAACGTTTTCTTTCAGGAAGCTTATCTGACACTGGCTTTGGTGGAGTTTCTGGAAGTAGTAACATTAAAATGCGATCTTCCCCAGTTCCTATTCACCAACCAATACATGCAATAAGAGGTTATGAAAGTGATAGCAGTCCTGCTGGGCTTCGTTCTCAGGCTAATCATTTGCCACCCATTGGAGTGTTCTGGGATATTGAAAACTGCCAGGTATTATGTTGCTTGGCTTAAACTAAAGAACATTTTGCATTGGCACGCCATGTCCGTTACTGAAATTACTCTCTAATTGCAGGTACCCAAAGGGAGGTCAGCTGTTGCAGTAGCTCAGCTCATAAGAGAAAGGTTCTTTGATGGTAGGAGAGAGGCTGAATTTTTAGTTGTCTGTGATGTCAAAAAAGAAAATTCTCAAATTATTTCCGAGCTGAATGATGCTCAGGTAAGCAAAGAAAGAAAAAAATGGAAGCGGTTTCAATGTGAAACTCTGTGTATTAAGGAGATGATGACAAAAAAGGCCGAGTCTGTAACTCATTATTAAAAGTTGAGCTGCTGTTCCTTTTGATCTTGAGAATGATGATTTGACTGCGATATTTCTGATCCTCTCTTCCTGTATACTGTTGGTTAAACAAGGAGTCATTCACAGTACTAACAGCATCATTTACTTTTCAGGTAAATCTCATTCACGTATCTGCAACATGTAAAAATGCTGCTGATGAAAAGTTGCGCCAAGCAATCAGAAGATTTGCTGAAATATATGGAAGTCCAGCTGCTATAATTTTAATATCAGGAGATGTTAACTTTGCTGCAGATCTTATTGATTTGAGGCACAGGTACAATTTCCAATAGTTCTTTTTAGAATGCTATGATAAAATCCTATTAGAATAAATCTCTTTAAAATAATTTTGCCTATAGTGTCAAATGAGGTTTCATTGTAAATGCCTTTCAATTGGTAAGAGCACTAAAAGACTAAAATTATTTTACATTTGCAGAAAGAAGATTCATGTTATTTTAATTCACAATAGTAATACATCAGAAACACTAATTTTATGCGCAAACGAACACTATAATTTCAGCAATCTTGTTGAAAATTTGCCTCTCCGAGGTGCATTTAAGGTAAGCAAAACTCATTATTATGATTGAATTTTGTTCTCATCGGGTGTGTGGTGCCTAGATCTTTAGCTGTCTATTCATTTCTCAGATGCAATCTGACTGGTCCTATAGTCTCTCCTCTCTGTAGCTGGAACTAAAACCCATCATCATTTACACTCACAACGTACAGTTTCCCTGTAGCCAATAGGAGCCATTATTTGAGTAGTTTAGAAACCTATTATTTGGGGTAGATATTGATTAACCCTCAGCAATGAATTCATCTTCCTATGTACAATGGCAAGAAAATAATTGACGAAACAGATTGTGTTTTATTATTGAACCTGTACCCTGCTGTTACTGGTTATTTTGTTTCCATGCCCACATAATTAAAGATAATAACACAAAACCAACCTAAAATTTATTGGTTACAAGAGGGAAACGGTAAACCTTTTCTTCAGAGCATATCTGACACGCCAGTCCAAACTATACCAAAGTATTTCTTTTCTCATTGAGGTTACTGACTTTATACTGATGAATTGATCTAAGATAAGGGGAAGATATCTCAGCAGAGACAAACAGGTTTTCTCAAAAATGCAGGATTTAGGAGACACACATCCTTCACTATATGATACACTCAGAAATAAAAATAACTTGCATTACATGTCTGCATACTTTGTCTCTTTCATCTCATCCAACTAAAACATATGCATAGTATCATAAATTTACTTTCCTTTCCAGTCAGGGAACCAGCCAATGGAAGTCATTGTGTCAAATCTTCCTCAAGACAAAGACTTAAGCAAAGTGAAGAACCGACTTAAAAAGTTGTCCGACAACTGTGGCGGACGTGTGGGACATATCATTTATGACCGAGCAGTCATTCGATTCCCAACTGTAGAATTTGCATCAAGGTGAGTCTATTTAGCTGCACGTCTGGCAATTACTTTTTGAATGATGACAGCTGCTTCTTGCTCTATCCTTCATTCAACATCTGCACTTATTTCATTTATCCTTCATAATAGTAAGTATTGTTGCATTAGAAATGGTAGGTTGTCTTGTCTTTATGAAATGCTCTTGGCTTATGAAATGTTTCTCCTAAATCAGCCTTTGTTTTCAAAGACATGTTCATTCATTCATCCAGTCTTCTATTGGTAAATTAATCTAAGTTGTCACCATGCCAGTTTTTACTTACCTTATTTTGTGTTTTCACTTCAATTTCTCATGGTGTGCTTGTTGAGTTGATGGCTTGCGGCTGCGGCAGCGGCAAGAGGGAAATTTGAAAACAAACGAGGAGAATCTTCATTCAACTGTCAGATCAGTGGAACAGGTGGCACCGCCTTCTTTCATTCAAACAGCGGCGCGAATTAATTTGAATGAGTATTTGATAACCAATATTTTGAGTGTTCAACCAAGTTCTTTTTGCCTAACGATGTTTTAACTCATTTTACTTTATCAATAATGTGTGCTTGAGTGGGCAACTAAACGTGGTCATTTTAATAATCTCAAATGAGCTGTAGTCTTGGTTACACGCGTTCATTGGCCAAACAGGCCGCAAAAAAAAACAAAGAAACGAAGGCTGTCAAGAAAGGGGGAGAATAAGAAAAGAAGACTGTGACGTTGTCACGAGCCGGCAGTTTGTTCAAGATCTTCTGCTGAAGCACATGTCTCGCTGATCTCTTTATGGATGGAACTATGGCCGTCTCTTGAGGTACCCAGTAGATGAAATGGGGAGCGAGTTGGTCGCGCGTGGTTAGCGAATGTTAATGTGCCATTGGGCATTAGAAGTTGGCCATGGCCTCTTGCGCTCGTCGCTTGGCGGCCTGACCAGGCCTGACAGCACCTGACAGCGTGCACGAAGGAGAAGGAGACGGTGCCGGTCATGCCTCTCGTCCAACCAGCTTAAGTGTTCGACTAGCCGCCGAGGCTTGCTTGCGGATTCATCCTCACACATCTCTCGTCTGAAGTGCGAGATCGGTTTCCGAAGCGCTGTCAGCCCTTGATGTCGTTTGGGGAGAAGATTGCCTGTTCATCCACTGCATTTTGGGTGGGTTAATGATCTCACATGGTGTCATGGTCATGCATTTGTTTGCTTGCAGGGCCCAGAAGCGCATGGATGGTCAAGACGTTTTGGGCAATAAGATTTTTGTAAGCAGACCTCAGAAGGCCTCTGTGAAGGATCAGGAGTCACCGTTCAAATCACTTTCTGACCGTCAACGAGGTGAGTGCTGCTTCAAGTTCATTTGTGCTGGTTCTCTTCTTTATTCGAGGTCTTGACTATGAAATTTTGTTTTGTCAGTGAAACGGACTAATCATCGATTCGGCGAAGAGTTTAGAATTTCGAATTTGCCACAACTGTCTGAGCCTGTGCAGTATCCTCAGACTTGCCTCTCGAACTTGAATCAAGGAATGTATCTTTCAAAAGGCTTTGGCAACTCTTCTAAACCAGATGCATCCTCTAATACTCTGGGTTCATCTGTGGCACCAACTTCTTTGGTGTCAGCTCCATCAGCATCTGCATCACTTGCTCATTTTAACATAAATCAGACTGGAATTGGTTCTGCCAACTTTTATCGGAACACTCCACCACCCAGAATAGTTCTTGGCAATGTTACATCTGGAGTGTCTGGAACAAGCCAGACATTGAACTCATCACTCCTAAATGGGTGGCACCATGGAAGTCTTGGTGCTTCTATGTCTGCAGCGTAAGTACTCCATTACTGTTTGTTGTCTTACTTGTCTAGTGTGGTTCCTGCAGTCATTTCTGTTTGCAGGTTACCTCACCCAGAAGTTGGGGGAACCCTTCCATCAGCTTATGCCAAAGTTGCCCATTCTCACCAGCAACAGCCCAATGACCCAAAGCAGCTTCTGCTATCACAACAGCTATGGCAAGGATCGTCCTCACATTCCAGTGCTAAGGTGGATGCTACTTCTTTGCAAATGGCATCACAATCTCTCTCGTTTCTTACGGCCAGCCTTCCTAACTGTGGCACTGGAGACTTCAACCCTGATTTGTGGAAGCATTTAAGTGAGCTACCGAAGGTGAAATCTGAAACTCATGGCTGGGAAGATGTGTCAATGGGATTGCAGGCACCCACTGTTTCACCATTGAAAGGCTGCACTGCTCCTCAAACCCGTACTCCATCACCATCTGGCCTGTCGTCAATGTCAGCACAGATCCACATTCCACCGAGTCATTCTCAGACTGGCGCTGGAGATGGCCTTCAATGGACCAGTCATGCAAGTTCTAATGGTGCTGGTGCCCTACCCAAGAGTCGCACCCCTTCCCCTTACTCGCTGAGTGTGGATCAGTTGTATCAGTCTCAAGTTAATCGTCGACCTTGGGGTAATGTGACAAAGACAAGCCCCGTCTTGGAAATGAAAGAGCCTGAGAGGTATTTCAACCCCATCAATAACTCTCAAGCCCGGCAGCCTTGTCAGGGGACCAGTGGCCCTGTGGAACTGCAAGTTACCAACTTGGATCAGAACATGGATCCAAAAGAAATGAAGAGGATTCTTCAAGCAGTCTTTAGAGAGCATGTTTCAGTTTTATACATTTCAGTATTTGTGCAGTCAGACGGTAATTTAGCAGCAACCGTGAGGGTGCCATCTCTGCAAGATGCTCAATATGCTATCTCTCAGTTGCATCGCAAGAAAGTTGGCTTCAAGCGTATTCAAATTGCGTATTCTCAGACAGGACCCACTATCAATCCAGCTCTAATTCGCTCTCAGATTGTATCACTCCTTCAAGATGTGCCTGGTCATCGTCTTCCTCTCTTCAAATTTAGAGAGATGTTCGAAAACCGATATCTTTCAACCATCAGTGTGTCTGATATGTATAAGCTGAGGGATGTATGCCTGGTCAGTGAGGAGCCTAATGGGCGCATGGTATCTCTCAATCCTCAGCACCGAAACACCCCGTCACCTCTGCTGGCCGGAGGGTCACAAGACGGCCAAGCTGCCATGGAGTTGCCTTTCTGTCCTCAGCATTACCAAAAAGCCAACACTCAAGATAAAGGTTGGGCGGAACAGGAACTTGCAACGCTTCCAAACGTCAGTATTGGCTTGAAAGTATTCACTCAACGAGTTCATAGCCTTCTCCAATCTCATAGTGGAAGTCTGCCTTTGCCAAGTTTTGCCCATTGTTATGGAGCTCAATTTGGGCCATTAGAAATTGAAGAATCTGGTGTCCCTCTAGAACACTTGGTGTCCTGTGTGTCTGGAACAGAACTTTATCAAGGTGTGGGCTGTGTCAAGTATCTACGATGGGCAAGTGGAGGTGAAAATGACACATCTAATGATACCGATGGAAGTTCTGTTGTGTCAAATGTTAGTCCACCTCTTGCTGGTCCATTAGCTCTCTTCTCCAGGGAGTTGGTTGATCTTCTGAAAACTGCTCCCAACTGCCAAATCTCATTCAACCGCTTCATTCCTGCCTATCACCACCATTTTGGACGCCAATGTAGAGTAGCAGACTATGGTTACACTAAATTGATGCCATTGTTGGAAGCCTTGCCTAATATAGTACAGGTATGTGATGTTGACAATTCATGTCAAATTTCTGTTTTCTTCCCACATTTAACCATTGTTCTTTTTCTTTTCTTTTTTGTGGCTAGGTTCTTGGAGAAGGTAACAAGCGCATGGTTACTTTGTCTCACCGTGCTCAGGTCAGGCGGTTTACTTCTGATCTGCTGAGAGTATTGAAGGCTCAGTACAGTAAACAGGTTACCCTGTCGGAATTTCCTGTTGCTTATCAACGTGTTTTGAATCGTTCCTTTGAAGTTGTTAACTATGGAGTGTGCACTGTTGAAGACCTGTTGGCTGAGGTTGCAGAAACCACAGTATTGGTGTCTTCGATCCCCAATTCTAATGATGTTCTTATTGCTATCCCTAAAAGAGAGCAGACTCAAGAGGAAATGGAGAAAACTAAGCAGTTTGCTTTTGAGGTTCAATACTTTTCTGTTAAAGTCACTTAAGATTGTTATCATTGACTTCATGTAACTTATACTTTTGCTTGCTTAGGTCCTTCAACTACTTCGCTATGCTCCACAGTGCAGCATGGATTTTAGTAAATTTATTCCTTATTACCATCATCATTTTGGGAAGCAATGCAGGGTTTCTGATTACGGTTTCTCCAAGCTCATTGAACTTTTTGAAGCAATTCCTGATGTAGTTAAGGTAAGCAGTTGTGTTGCTTAGATGTTGTAATCTTACAGCCATTCAACTTGTTTTTTACTGCTTTACTTACTTTTGTAGGTTTCGGAAGGTGAAGAGGGTGAACGCAGAGTCCAATTAACACTGGATCAACGTTTAAGAGTTCTTGGGGATCTAGTTGCTGCAATTGTTCAGGAATCAGGAAATGCCCTTATGCTCATCTCTGATGTATCTGAGAATTTCCTCCTGAGTTCAGGATATGCTCTTCGCCCAGAGGACTATGGTTTCAATTCTCTTGAAGAGCTGTTCAGTGCAATTCACTTTGCAGTTAAGGTATAACTTACCAATATGTTTTAGATTGCTGATAATTACTGGCTTTGGCTTCTAACATTTGTTTATTGCCCTCAGCTTCGCGTTACTTCCTCTGGAACATGTGTGGGCCTGGTTGACCAGAATCATCTACTTTCCATTCGCCAAAATATTCGATTCATATTGTGGTCTCACGAAGATTGCCAAATGACTGCATCACAATTTCAAGAATTGTATTCTCAGAACATTGGTGGGAAATGCAACTTTGATGATCTTCAAAGAGATTTGAATAATATAATTGAGGTTGGTGATCATTTCTATGGAAAACCATAAATAACTTTATTCAATTGCATTGACACTCATTTTGCTCCTTCTTTCAACTAGCTGGTTCGTGATTCTGATGGTGTGGTCAAGTATATTGGACTGAAACCACTGCAGGTTTTGGCCCGCAATGTGTACTATCTGCTCCAGGAGTCAAATGGGCAAATACCACTCTCCTCGTTTGAAGCAAACTATATCCAACGATTTGGAAAGGCGGTGCAGCCAGCCCAATACAATTACTCCTCTGTCTGTGCTCTTCTACAAGGGCTGAATGACATTTTCAGTATTAAAGGAAAGGGTCAACGACGCTTTCTTGTTTTGAAAAGTAGTAATGATGGTAAGATAGGCATGCATGTTTCTTTCAGAATTTCCCTTGTATCTTTAATACTCTTACTCATGGCAGTTTCAATTTTCAGGAATTGGGTTAAATCTTCCAGATAACTCTAGAGTGTCAACTGACAAATTGTCGGAAGCCTTTGATTTCACTTCTCCGAAGAAAACCTTTAATTCATTTTCAGGTAAGTCAAGACTTTTTATTGGGCATTGTGACTTCACCCACACAGGCTCATGTGTTATGGCCTTTTTTCTCTTTTTTTCAGAGGGCGGCTCCAAACTAGGGGAATCTCCTGACACTGTTTTGAAGAAATTAATTAGGAACTTGTCAAATCAAGTTTCACCTGCCAAGGTAACTTGTTTTGCGATTTCATTCTAGGAGACCTTTTTGCCTTGCTTTCTTTTTCTATATTTTGCTTCCTTCTTGCTTTGTGGGGAAACAGCAACGTGCTTCTGGAGAACGTGCTTCAGGGCATCAAGGGTATCGTCCTCTTGGGTTTGCTACAAGTCAACAGCCGCTTCACTTTAACAGTAACCATCACTTTGCATGGGGACCTCCACAGCCATCAAATGGTGGCCTCTCTTCTTTCACGGTACTATTGCACCATTGTGCTTTGCTGATTTGTGAAATGACTATGCAAGCTTTTTCTATTTCTGCTTATTTTTGTATTAGTGTTTGTTTTTACATCTAGGGGCTTTTTTCCCCTATATAACCATTCGTCATCTTTTCTGCCATGCCCTTACAAGCCTCTGTCCCTTTTTTGTTAACTTGTAACTTAATTTGCAGGTGCCCATCTCCATCCCACCTTGTTCATTGGATTCACCAACCTCTCTGTCGGGCTTCAATGGGCTGGAGAGCACTAGTCCACCAAGTCCTCGTGCTTCTTTACCCATGGTTCAACCGCCCCACCCTTCTGAGTTACCAATGCCTCGGTTAGCTCTGACATCTCCCATTTCATCAAATGCTAATAATGGGTTAGTTTCTTATTTTGATTTTCTTCTTATATTAGTGATGTGGCAAGGTCTCATGAAAGTAACTCTGTTTGTGGTACTAGGGCTCTGAATTCAGCTTCTGGGGCAGTTGAAAATGCTGATATGAATGTGAGTAGTGGTCAGACTATTCCTGAAGGGGCGACTGAAAGTACCCGTGATGGAGTTATTAACTCAGGTCAAAATGGAAGTCCCGCTGCTGGTCGTGCAAAACGTGAGTAAATTTGGCGATTAAATGTTGTATGTTTGGGCTAGAATGTCTCTTGATTCTTTAAACTTGATTTCAGGAAAGCAACGGCTTGCTATTCAGTTCACTTCTCCTCTTGTCCCTATCCAATGAAAAGTCACTAATGTTGTGGGGCTGAGTGCTGCTGTGATATATTATCGTGATAATGCAGTTATGCCAATTGTGAAGGCAGACGATAAGACATCTAGTTGTGCAGATTTTTATAGTTGCAAAGCAAAATCATTGTAAGACTTTTTTTTTTCCTCTACTGCGTCCCACTTGTATTGTTTTAAAGGTTTGAGCAAATGAGGAAGGATAGATGGAGGCATTGTTCTCCTTGTGTTTTTTTCTTTTAATGAATGGGGGTGGGGGAGGGGGGGGTAATAACTTGTCTCAGATTGTCGTTTTTCGCACTTCTTGTGTCTGGTATGTTGCATAGCAAGTTCTGAAATTTGATGGGTTATTTTCTTAATTATCTTTAAGTCTTTTTGTACTTATTGTTACTCACACTTATTGGTACTCATCCATGCATGTTATGTTGGAGTGAGGTTCAAAAGGCAGATGGTGAAACTGTTAAGATAGGTAGCCTATTTTCTGTTCAGTCATTTTTGTTGTATATTGATTAGTGCTTTTTTTTTTGGTGTAAGTATCCTAAGGTATACCTGCATGAACAACAACCTCATCGACTATTTTGTTTGTTTAGAATGCTTTGTCTTAAGATGGTCGCATGTATTTGATTTTTTCAACATTGGCTAAATTATTTCTAGTGTCTCTTTCACTTGGTCCTTTTAAAATTTTGTCTCTGCAGAAGTACTTTTTGATTTCTCACTTTAAAATCAAATTTGTAGGCAGTCTTGTGAGAATTTAGTTTGGAGACAACAAATTATGATTAATAGTTAAGGGTTATGAGTACACTGGAAAAGCATTCCCTCAATTCCTGAATCATGGTATAATGAAACTGCCTTTTCATTTTTCAATGAATGTTTTCTTGAAGACTTCTATTCCTTTGAGATTTCTGTTGTGTATGAAGTGTCCAATTGTGTTTATTGAGAGCTTTATCCTTGTTAAAGAATTTTGAATCCGGGACAATATGGTGATAAATTTGATGTAAATTTAGTGCAAGGGGGGATATGAATGAAATTAATGCTCTTGTTGAAAGAGCTTAGCTCATTTTATTTTTTCATGCCTTAATTAGAAACTGGACTGTGGATACTATCATACAATGTTTTTACTATTTATGTATCTTTTTTTTATTTAGAAAGAAAGGATCGTGTTCTTGTTATGTTGCCATAACAGTTTCAAAGATCAGTTTTCATTTTAAATTAAGAAGTAATGTGGACAAGTTCATAACTTGTTGGAGTCCTTTTAGGTGGTTTCTGTATAGTTTTCAGATTACAGATAGATGTGACTTGTAGAAACATGCCTTTTATCTCTTCTGTGGTACAGACATGGTTGCTGTGATTAAGTAATTAGTCTTTAAAATTTCATGCATTATTGACATGGTAGAGGGAGACTTCTGTAAGCTTTGATGTGGATGGGTTGTACTGCATTATCATTTTCATCAACAAATTTATTTGGAAATTTGGGTTTTTGCTCCAATTTTCTTGATGTTGATGTTTTTAACTTTTGTTGTGATGTAGTCTCCTCAGTACCCAGTGTTATGTGTTATTACAGGGCAACTATGAATTGTTGGAATTGTACTTTATGAAAATGACTTGACATGTATCAAAGGCTTTTGTGAACATTTCAGTTGTCTGAAAATTGTGCCAGCACAATTTTCATGAAGCAAGCTCCCTCTTTCCATTTAGATAAAACTTGTCAATTATTGTCTTGAGCTTTACAAATTTGATAATTCATGTCTTGTATGAATATGTTTCCATTCCTTCACTAGGTATGGGAATTTTGTATCGCTTTAAATTGAGTACGAGGAAGATACATGAGTTTTGTTCAAGTACCTGACAAGTAATTGTAATGATTTCTTCCACTATTTACATGTACCATTGTTTTTAATCTATATTGTGGTGTACATTTGATTTAATGTGGGCTTGCAAACTTTTATTAAATGTTTCTTTATAACAATCTTTTTCTTTTATTATTATTCAATCTATTGCCACTCTGGACAAGCTGTGAGCATTACGTAATTACAAGAAACAATCGAGTATTTATGTCTTGTTATGCTTGCCAGTGATTTATCACATTCACATGTAATATTCAAGTGGTTACCTGACCTTCCAGGAAGTGTTGTGTCAGCAGACCTAAGACAATGTACTTACCTTAGAAGTTCTGAAGTATGTTTTCGTAATCCTGTTTGTCGAAGTAATGTGTATCCTGCATCAGTCGTGAGCGAACTTAGGCATACATTTGGTGTCCATGATTTTTTTTTATGGCAACTATGGTCATAGTTGCTGAAACCTCTCTGTTTACACAGTGTATCAGGAGGAATTGGCCTGGTTTGATGTCTTTATACTACAAAGACTTCAGAGCGCTCACTCTTGGTAGCTGCTTTAAGGACAAATCAAGCTTTGAAGAGTTTCAGGTAAAATCCAAACCTTTTACTTCTTTGTTGAATGATGTGGCAGATTTTGTAACTGATACTAGATGTTTGTGCCAACTTAAGATTGAAAATATAGGGGTCTTTACTTGTACAAGTCATGCTCAAAGCATTCAAGTGGTCGGTGAAAATTGAACAACTACATGTATTTTCTTCAATTGTTTTGTTTTCCAGTATTATGTCATGCCTTCAGGAATTGTGTTTTTTTTTTTTGTAACTTTAAATTTATGATGAGATAAATGGATGTATGAAAATATACTTGTTTGTCATTTAATACCCAAGTAACAGTTTTCACATGATTTTTATTAACAGTGCAGTACACACCAGGCTGCGTTTTATTTACAACAGGAAATATACCTTCAAATTAAAATCTAATGACAGTAAACTCAATCTTGTACCCTAGTCAATCTACAAATGCTATGTACAAAGTTCCATGAAAATGAGCAGGGTCACCTCTAGTCCAGGAAAGAATTTTGAAAGTATTTCCAAAGTTGCTGCCATTGTAGAAAATTTAGGATACACAATTGAAAGTCCTACAGCATATGATGCTTACTTACTCCTCTTTGGGACCCATTCCTGATCCAACTTTTCCATAGCGACGCTCCCAGATCAAACGGTGCTTCTCCTTCATATAGACTTCTTTTGATGAAGGTTTAAATCCCATATCACCATCTAGTATGGGCACACAAAGATAAATAGCATTTAATAAAAGGCAAACGTTTCAAAGGGAAGCAGTGGCATTAGATCTAATGAGAAAACTAGCAATGACAATTATCTTACATTTGCAGAAATAATTTCCTGCGGCCTCTTGATACATGTCCCAAAGAGGCTTGCATTCTCTTACAGCGTTTTCGTCTTGCCCCCCATGGTATCGGACACAGAATTCACTACGCTGACGCAAAATTGAGACAATTTGTCCATCAACAGCCCTGTGGAAAAATAAAGTGTAATTAATTCAGAGTAGCATTGAGCTATAAGTCTTGTTTAATTTATATCCCTTAGGAACAGGCTACAAAAACCAGACTGACAATGAACAATAGGCTGGGGCAACCAGCATAATGATCAATAAGAGAAAAAATAACAGAATGGATAGATAATCTACGGGAAAACATTGTTGGAAATTCTTTGACAGGAACGCAGGAAAGTTCTCAGTCTAAAATAATCAAGAATAAGGATGGAGTTTCTATAAAAAAAAAATAGAATTTCTGAATCATAATCTACAAAGTACGAAAAACATTTCTCTTACATGCCTAAGATTCAAATTTGAAACTGTCACTGAAAAAACTACAATCAGAAAATGCCACCAGAGAAAACTTTGCCAGTGCATGAATATTAAAAGGATAAAAATTACAAGGTGCCATGGAAAATTTCAATAAGTATGGCAAGGAAAGGTACGATTTTTTTATCACTTACATGTCTCGTTCAAGTTGTTGGTCTGCTTCAAAGATGCAAACTGGATCATCGGTGTAACATTGGTCGACTGTGGGAACTCGAGGGTATTTCCTGTGATACCAATAGTGCTTCTGTTGATTCGGCGTGACTATAGTTTCTGCAAAAGGTAATCGACCAAAAGAAAATGTTAACAGGGAAATAAGGCCGAGTTACTTGTTGGTGAGGTTAAGTGAAGAGTGCGATCATCGGTCACAACAAAAACATAGCGACCATGATTCACGGAGACATCTCGGTGAACAAAAGCATGATAAATACTAGAATCGCATCAAGACATTCAAAATAACCACAAATATCAAACGTTCAAAACATGACAAAAATAGAGAAATTAGTTACCTCTCCACCATGTCACAGGTCCATCCACAGCTCGACCGAAAGCGTTAATAAACTTCAAAAACGTCGTGTCTGCCATCGTTTTCTTGGAACTTCTTAATAACACGATTTAACAACCCCGGGGCAGCCAAATATTGCTAAAACCACAACACCGCAGAAACAACCTTCCTCCATCCAGCTGAGCTGCGGGAGGACGGAAGGTAAAGAAGGGGAATTCAACCAACGAGGCTACGATTGGTCGGTCCCTGGGCCGGAAACGGACCGTCACCCCCTCCCGGCTTTCGGAACGTAACGTAACTCTTCTTCAACGCTAACGCATCCCTGGCTATAGTATCCATGGCTGCCAGTTTGTTGACTTTTGTGTTCTGTGCCCTACAACATTTAACAATACCACTGTAAGTTGTTTTTCAGCGACTCTATGAGGTTTGTCGCGATCAGTGTTAGGACACACATGCAAGTTCATTTTCATTTACGCTCGCGTTGTGCAAGCTCTGCGCAAAATTTCGCCTGACAATAATAGGCTTAACCTAGAGGATTTCAACAGTTGTTTTTGTTTGTGGTAATCACCCTTTTACCGGACTTACCCTCCACTCTTTGCATACAAGCAAATATTTTAAGACCGATCCTTACTATATTGATTAGTCCTGTCGAACTTCCCGTTTTGCTTAGTTTTGTTGTTTTGTGCCCAATATTCATTAGGTTAGGTTACTCTTTTAAGATAAGATTTTTCCCATTGATAAATTTCATTCATTATATAATCCCTTAATTCTATGTGCCTTTCTATTTCAGGAACTCCTCCAGTCTCAAAATGTATGACAAATAATTGGAACCACTGGGCCTCGGTTTATTCAAGCTTAAGCACTACTGAAGTAAGATTTCAAAATGGTGCATATTCCAGTAACGTATCAACATGATTATTGGATCCAAAATGAAAATCAATCAGTGGAACTTACTTGTCTTTTGCCCACTGGAGTACTCATTCCTCTTGAAGTTAACAAAAATGCAACACTTCAAGAAGTCAAAGAGGTAACCATTGATTCTCCAATACAACACTTTGAATAATAATAATTTTTTTTTATCAAATAAAAAAATTTTCTCTCAATTTTTCCTTTTAATGTTGTTTAGGATTTGTGGGATGAAGCTAGTAAATATCCATTGCATGGTATGCTTCACGATGCATCATTTTATGTCTTTGCGTGCATCAATTCTATGGCCGAAACTGAAGAATTGGTTGATGAAAACCGCCGCCTTTGTGATGTAAGACCATTTTGCTGTATTTTACGAGTAGCCCAACGAGTTGGTGACAAGGCTGACAAAGTTATCAATAATCAGATAAGTCATCTAATCGGCAAAGGTGTGTACAGGTTTGACAGTTTCTTGTGAGCGACTTTTTACTTTTCACTGTGTACTTTAATTATTTTCTACATTTTTGTATTCTCCAGGTCTTCATGAATTTCAAGCTTTAAAAAATTCAGAGATAAATGATTTTAGATGGAAAATGAAGAACTTAGGTGATGAAGTCGCAAGAACACGAGTCAACAAATCTTGGTTGGAGAGATTGTATTATCAATTTCCTCCCAGACTTGCCGACCCTGGTATAGAACTGCCACAGAATGTAACTTCTCGACTAAGGGAGGGAAGCTTTGTGTTAGTGACTCGATTTCAAAATACTGAAGTGAGTTTTTAATGTGCAATTTTTCTTGAGATTCAATCCTTGTCTATATCCTATCATTGAGCTGAATTTTATTTTCCAGACTTCCTTTACGTTTAATGTATCATATAACACCAAACCACAACAATTAGTTGCTCAAATCTTGAACAAAAAGTCATTGACTTTAGCTACAAGTGGGGAGCAAGTCCAGAACTATGTTTTAAAAGTTTGTGGTCAAGATGAATACCTTGTTGGTGATGTGCCTCTTCTACAGTTCCTTTACATTCAAGAAATGATAGCACGGGACCTATATCCAGTTGTAGTGACAGTTGAAATTGATAGTATTCCAGGTAAGCCAATCTTCTAAATGTTTCTCACAAGCGTTTCAAAATCTTACTCCTATCCTCTCTAAATCGTGTTGTTTTCTCTTGTATTTTTTTTAAAGTTGACAGAGGAAGTAGTAATGACACAGAAAATCAAGAAATGCAGAGGACTCGGCAACCATCCTCTACCAGCACTCAGCGCAAAAAAGGAAAGCATCTTTCCTCATGGTCTATCAACGAGCCATTTCAATTTGAAGTGAAAGAAATTTCAAGATTAAATTGTAACGTGCATCGTCCAGTTGAGGTTGGTGTAAATATTTCTGTCGTCATCAAGATCTACTTGCCTTGTCTTCTGGTTCAGACTGCTTTAACCCTGATTGTTTATTTTGTGAATTTTTTAGGTAGTGGTTCAGGCTGGTCTATTTCATGGTGGAAAATCATTATGTCAGTCTCAAAAAACTCAGGAAAAGGCTGTAGTTGAAAGTACAGCAAAGTTTGAAGAATGTCTACAATTTGATATCTTGGTTTCAAACATCCCTAGAATGGCTAGACTCTGCCTCGTAGTCTATGAAATATCTAAAAGTTCGAAAGGTGTGAGATCTAGAAGACTGAAGGATTCAAAACAGGTTTGACAGTATTAAAAAATATCAAATTCAAAATAGATATTTTAAATCTTACAACACTGTCAGAATGTATTTTGCTTTGTTTCATTTTTAGGAACTGTATATTGTTCCCCTCGCGTGGGTCAATACTACAGTTTATGATTTCAAAAACCAAATGAATACTGCTACAACACTATACATGTGGACGTATGCGGAAGATATACAAACCGATGACCTGCTTCATCCCCTAGGCACAGTGGTTTCCAATCCTTCTGGAAGTCATGCAACTCAATTGACATTAGCTTTTAAAAAGTAAGCCACTGAATTGTCTTTACATTGATATGTAGGTTAACCTTCTTCATGGAGCTTCAGCACTTGCTTGCACATATATTCACTTATTTTGTCTATTTCATAGGTATCATGCAGATCACACTGTTGTTTACCCATCTATTGAGAAAGTTCTGGAATTTGCTGAAAGCAAAGGAGAACTCATGCGGGGATGTGACAAATCGGAACCTTCGAACTCTAACAAGCAATATCTAGAAACTTTAAGGTAACTGTCATAGTTTATCAATTATCATGAAATTGTGGATGACATGATATTTAAAACTCTCCAATTTTGTTTATTTAGATCAAATGTTGAAACGGATCCTGCTTATGAAATGCATGAACAAGAAAGAAAAAGGGTGTGGGAGCTGCGTTATGATTGCATGAAACTTATGCCCCATCAACTACCGATGCTTCTAACTTGTGTTGAGTGGAACGACCAAAAGGAGGTTTGTTCTGGCGATGATAGTCTTTACTTTTTGCACTAGCCTTTTGTAATAACATTAACCTTTCATCTTACTTCAACAGATTGCTGAAGCAACAGCATTATTACAATATTGGCCTAAGTTACCTGTTGAAAAATCATTAGAGCTCCTGGATTATGCCTATGCAGATCAGACGGTCCGAAATTTTGCTGTGAAGTGCTTGCGAGATGTGAGGTCTGTACATTCATTTTTTCCATTTGCTGTGTCTAACAAGGATGCTGTCAAGCAAATTCTATAACATCTTTGCATTGTTCCCAATTTTAGTGATGAGGACCTGTCATTGTATCTTCTTCAACTTGTGCAGGCTCTGAAACATGAGTCTTATTTGTCCTGTGATCTAGTAGAGTTCTTATTACGGCGAGCTCTCAACAATCAAAAGATAGGTCACTTTCTATTCTGGCATTTGAGGTAAGTGTGTCAAACCCGAATGCATCACAATATGCAATAGTTTCAGCATCTTTCCCATTAGGGAAAGATGCTTTTTATCACATCAAAATTTGTTTCTAATTCTATTTTTAAAATCCAATTCTAGATCAGAAATGCAAGTAGCCTCAGTTTCTGTCCGATTTGGTTTAATTCTAGAGGCTTACTGTCGTGGTAGCCAAGAACACATGCGTTTATTGGTCAGACAAATAGAGTGCCTTGAGAAGCTTAAGGTTACCAGTGATGAAATGGTAAGAAGTCGCAAGGATAAGGATAAAGCTAAGCAATTTCTCCAAGACCGCCTTAAAGAACCTCACTGCCAAGATGCCCTTTCAAAAGTTTTAAGTCCTCTTGACCCAAGATATCGATGCAAAAAAGTCAGGTAAGATCCAGCAGCAGCAGGTGCTCATGAAGTGATTGACAATTAGAAACACTGTTTTTTTTTTATTTACTTGATATTGTATTATTTAAGCTATATTGTTCTTTTGTGTTTCCTTTTAGGGTTGAAAAATGTAAAGTTATGGACAGCAAAATGAGACCTTTATGGGTAGTGTTTGAAAACGATGATCCTTATGGAGATGACATTTATGTTATTTTTAAAAATGGAGATGATTTGCGCCAAGATATGTTAACTCTTCAAATGATTCGTATTATGGATAAATTGTGGAAGAATGAGGGTTTGGATCTGAGGTAGAGTATATTTCAACTTAAGTCACAAACTAACTGCTTTTTTTTCTCTTTCTCTGTAAAACTGATTTATTTTTTGTTTTGTGGGTAGGATGAACCCGTATGGCTGCATTTCAACAGACCACAAAGTGGGCCTCATTGAAGTGGTCCTGAATGCTGAGACAATAGCAAACATTCAAAAAGATAAGGGAATGCTTTCGGCAACATCTGCCTTTGAAAAGGGTTCCTTGCTTGGTATGTGAACTGCATGCATTATTTATTTCAAGCTCAGTGGCTAATTAACTGTATTGTTTATGCAAAGTTATTTTTAAAAAATATGTTCAACAGCATGGTTGAAAGACTACAATCAATCAGAGACCAAGTTAAACAAAGCAATTGAACAATTCACACTCTCATGTGCTGGGTATTGTGTAGCTACCTATGTACTTGGTGTTGCAGACAGGCATTCAGATAACATTATGGTGAAGAAAACTGGACAGGTTTGTTTTAATTATGATCTTTTCCTTTCCTTTAGGAATTCAGGACATTTAGTTGCTAGATTTCTGAAAGACTTTATTACTTTCTTTTCCTTTCAGCTCTTTCACATTGATTTTGGTCATATTTTGGGTCATTTCAAGGAAAAGTTTGGTATCAAAAGAGAAAGGGCCCCATTTGTTCTTACTCATGATTTCGTCCATGTGATAAACAAAGGACAGGCCAAGAAAGAAAAAGCGCTCGAATTTCAGATTTTTCAAAATACTTGTGAGAAGGTGCAGTATCAATAATGATTTGCTTAAATTAAGATGACACTGTTACCCAGTTTTCTTCATGACTTGATCTCTCTGTACAGGCGTTTTTAATTCTGAGGAAGCACGGTGGACTTATCTTATCTCTCTTTGCCATGATGATATCCACAGGATTACCAGAACTCAGTTCGGAAAAGGATCTTAATTATTTGAGGGACACACTGGTAAGCAAACAGATCCTTCCTATCTTGTCAGTTTCTCTTTCCAAACAAGCATAAAAAATATCATTTGTCATCACAAACTTTTCTTTTTAAGGTTTTGAACAAAACTGAACAAGAAGCGTTAGCCCACTTCCGTGCCAAATTTGATGAAGCCCTTGCTAATTCATGGAAAACATCGCTTAACTGGGCATCGCACAATGTTGCCAAGAACAACAAACAATAAGGAAGCGATAGTTCTTGTTGCTGGTGAATATGTACTGTAGCAATGTTTTTATAACAACCCCCTGTTTCTCTTTGATGTGTGAAGAAAGAAGCACAATGTTTTGTTAGAAAGTTATGTGTGTCCCCTAGTTCAATAGAGTGAAATATTCTTTTATTATTAGCATATGGTGCTGAAAGGTGAAGAAACTGGTCTGTAAAATCAGTGTATTAACTTGGTTGTCTTTGTTTTTGTGCTCTTGTTAATATTATAGTAATTTTATGGTGGACACAACACTTGACTCTTATGATGACCGTAGCATATGTACATACACAGGGTAAATTAGATGTATGGATTTTTTTAATGATTATTATAAACAGCACTAGTCATTAAATCATGAACATAATAATAATAATAAATAGTTAATGTAGCAGAAACTTGTCTCAATTTTTTTTTTGATCATATTTAATTGACAATTTGGTGATATTGGTCTAAGTGATGACATTTCATATAATTTTAATAGAATGAAATTAGTTCTTGCATTGCTTTTTGTTTTACTTTGTGTCATATGCTGCATTTGCAGAGGTGACCAATCATTACAAAGATGTGAGACTATAGCTTGCCTTTATGTTGTATTGTGCTACACAAGGGACCTCATTTGTGAGCCTAGGTTTTTTCTTCAAAATTGGAAGCATGTACTCACAACTATTTATTAGTCTGATTGAAGAAGCATTTGTGGATATTTGATACAACTACTTACAAATGTCTACATTTTATCAATTTCAAATGTGACCATCTTAAGAATGAATTATTTATTTAGCAAGAACTTTCGTCAAGAAAAACAGTGGGCCTGTAGTTTTTTGTTTGTTTGATGTTTTCACTTCCTCTAAAACGAATTGAATCCTTTTTGTTATGAGAGCACTTCTCATCTTTTAGTTTTCAAATTTCTTTGCATTAGAAACTGTTATCGTAAGCCTATTTTTATCTTATTCCCACTAGTTCCAGCATCAAAGTGTTCAGTTTTGGTGTCTAATTCCGTTTATTGCTGTGGTTTTTGTTTCAACTCTCTTTTTTCTTGTTCTTTTCCCAAAAGTTGCTCAGCAATATATAACTGGTTAGCAATAATTTTCTGTAAGCTCTTTGACAGAAGCTGAAAGAATTGCAGTGAAACTTTCCTTTAAGTGTCACCTATACTCAGAATTATTGAAATTTTCTCCCCATACAAAGTTTTCTTTTGCCTGCCACCCAACCGTGTCCCATTTTAGCAAAGCTTCCTTCCCCTTTCGTTCTTGAGAACGGGAAATATGTATCAGTGGGTCAAAATATAAAAGATTTTACAGGTCTTTCATCTTACAACTGTGCACTAAGCACTATTTTTTTACTACTTCACCTGCCAGTCCTAGTGTGTGTTTTCCATTTGTGGTGAAGAGAAGCACTTCAGTGCCATAAACATATAGATACTCAAATGTGCCTTAGTTGAATTCTCCCATCTTTTTACTTAATTTGACATGAGGTTTAGGAAATGGAGAGCAGCCTGACAATGTTTCTCTCATAGTTCTGTTCAACATTTTAGGATTTTTTTATTTACATGTATACATCAAGAACTGTTGGTTGATGTGTATAACTTGTATCTTGCTCATTTAGTTTCAGTTATTATTCGTTAACATTTTGACCTTTGTGTTTGTTTTTTGGTTGTCTCTATTGCAGAGGTTTGAGGAAACTGCATCAATGACTCACCTCAGTTGTAATCATTTTCTCACTGGTAGTTCTGTGAGTCATAAATGTACAAAAACGAACTTTGAAGGAATGATGACAGTTCAGAACTGATGTCACCTGGTGTAACATGCTTTGAAGATGCTGCTGTTTCATTTTCAATTGAGAGATACAATGCTTTCTGAAAAGGATCTCCAATTCATTGACTGCTTGTAATCAGCTGCAGCCCTGATAGGAACTGCTCCTTATTGTGGACTTTATTCCTCTCATTGAAATGCTGTATCCCATCCCTACAATCAACTTAATCATTAGGTGCTCTTAACATTCAGTTTGTGTGCTTTACTTTTTTTTTCGTTTTGTTTTGTGTGTATGTATGTGTGTATGTGGATAGGTGTATATGGTTGCGTATGCGCTTCTTATAATTCTTGGAAAGTTATATTGATTCTCAGTTGTAAATACCAACCTTTTTGTTTGGTATTTCCAGCTGAGAATGGCAACATGTGATGCTCTGTATACTTTTATATCATAAAATAATATCTTTATGTAATGTGCCATGATATGGGTTTGATGGCTGAAACAAAATAAGGAAAAAACTGCAAATTGCCAATTGTGACTGTGGTTGCCTCACCGCCACATGAGCATGAGGGGGTTATTGCATTCAGAATTATCAATTTTGGTGATAGGAAGATGTCATATTTTGAAATGATTCAAAATCTCTGAATGCATTTATTGAGACAACTTAAACACTACCAATTTGAAATAGACCTGTGAAATTATAGGTTACTTGTGGCAGAATTCATGAGGAAAGAAAAATGTTTTATTCAATACTATAGATTTAAGATATCTGTAAGAAGAAGTTTTATATTTTTGTATAGTATTTGTATTGATAAAAAATCTGGCTGAGTTTGCCAATCTTTGAGCAGTGAAAAGAAGTTATTTTGTATAATTTGCAATTTTGAGCCAATTATGTTGTCAACATTTTTCAAACTAAGTATAGGAGTCCAAATTTAATTTATTCCCCCTTATGACCAAGAAGCCGTAGAGTATTGAGGAGTGAAGTCGTTGTGTGAAGGAGTTGTAAACCTTATTGGAAACCTTTCCTTGTAAAGTTATAGGCTGAGATACAGTGTGTTATGTCAATGGCATGGATGATGTTCCCTCATCTACTTGTTTCTGAATCAACTGCATTATGGCCAAACATGATATGCAATAACTGTCTCATGAAAGGTATTGTAGTTGGATTTGTACTGTCTACAAATGTCTTCCCAGGAGAAGGGGTGTTCAATGGAGTTTGGCACCCTTTTTGCTTTAACCATGGTTGGTGCTTTGTTAAATATGTTTTGTTATAAGGGCGATTAATAACTTCAATCAGTCTTATTTTTCTTTGTAGTTGTAAATTTTATTTAACTTTTTAAGTATATAGAGTGTATTTCCTGGTTGAGTTAAGAAAAACTCCATAATTGATTACTGATCTCATCTATTTTATTGAACTGCATTACTTCCAATTGTCATGACATAGTGCTCAGGACATTGTGCATATTTGTACTAGATTATAAGAGTATTCACTGAATACTCGCTAGTGCCCTTTATGTATTTTTACAGTGGGCCTCTTTTGCATTGGTCTACAAATTACATGAGATAATAAATGAAGTTCTCTAATAGGTAGTAGTTTTCTTCATCTCCCACCAGGGCCGCCAGAAGCACTTTCTGGGGGGTTTCGATGGGTTGCTTATCTTCAAGAAGCAAGATCCTACATCCCAGGGGCGTCGACGCGTTCGAATTACAGTGGGAGCAAGCGGCGCAGTGTCGTGTGGGTTGCCTACCTTTAGGCGTAATTATGTGGCAGCATTCGCTGAACGTGAACGTATGACAACAAAGTTAAAGGAGGCATTCTTGCTACAATACTAGCTTGGCTATTGCTCGCAAGAATTAAACGAGACATCAGTAATATAGAACGTGGCTATTGGTGCACGAAACAGATGCCTGGTGCTCCGTGCCCAGAGGTCTCTGGGGGTGCATTCTGCATTGTCTGCATTGCCCCGGTGGCCCCCACGGGGTCGACACCCCTATAGCGAGATCCTATGAGTGAGAAAATGAGTCCCTCCCCTCAATTTTGTCACCCTTGTCTTCCACACCCAGCAAACTACACCCCACCCCCATAAATAGGTCAATAAATAAAATAGAGCCAAATATTACTTAGTTCGTTTTTTTGAGAAACGATTTATTAAGTAAACAATGATTACTTTAAGTTTGTTATAATTAAACTTAACCACACATATAAAGAGCAATAAAAATATCACCAGCACTGCCCATTGATAACTATAACAAGTAATACTACACAAATTACTTATTATTACACAGGCTTATCATTACTTCAGTCTTGATGATATCTCACATGACGTAAGACATTTAAGGGTACATAATCACATTACATCTTTGTCTCGAAGAGACCGTCCAAGGATCGAGCTGGGAAGGACGAGGTGCGCCACAGCCGCGCAGTGCACCGTGCAGTCAAGAGTTTCATTTCCCTCCATGTCACAACGGGAATCTGAATCAGCTTGGACGCCCCGCGTCAACGCGTCGCCGCTTTGGTCAAACTTGGAATAATTTACAAAAATAAATACAAAAGTGCGCGTGGCGACTCCGGGCGTTCCGTGCCGGTGGGCCGGTGGACGTGTTGCGGTCCGGCGGTGCGGTGCCGCGGCGAGGTGTCGGGTTGCGTTGCCAGCGTTGCCCAGAGGCTGTCCCCGCTGTGGTGGCGCGGCGGGGCGGGGCGGGGCGGGGCGGGGCGTGCGGGGCGGTAGGTGCGACACACCCCGCCTTACGTCACGGCGGCCAGCCGCCCGCGGCCGGGCCACCATGGGGCCACCGGGCGCAGGACGAGATCGACACGCAACGGAATCGGCCCGTCCGGCACGCCGCCCCAGGGCCACGCCCGCGGCCCCGCCCCTGCCTTCCAGCGTGACAGGCCGTCAGGACGTCGGGCCACCTCGTCTCGCTGCGGCGACGCGCTGTCGCCGTCTCCCCGACCCGACATACGATCTTTGGCATGGACCGTGGCCGCGCGGCCCGGAGGCTGGCCGGCCACGCCTCGGGCCTGGCCTGCAGCCTGCAGCGGCCTGCCGCCGAGGCCCCGGGAGCCACCCGGTCACGCGGGTGCGGAGGAGGCCCGGGAGAGCCTCTTCCTCAGTCAGCTGGCCCGTCAGCCTGGACGGAGAGCTCAAGAGATGTTGATGCAGCGCAGCTTCTTGCCGGGCACCCGCGACGAGAAGGCGAACGCGTCTTGCGCCGCGGCGGCCTGCTCCAGGTGCTGGTGCTGCAGCTGCACTGCGAGCTCGGCCACGTCCGCGACGTCGCCCTTGTCGTCCTGCTCCGCTGCCGCCGCTGCCGCCACCGCCGCTGCCACCACCACGTCGTCGTCGTCGTCGTCGCCGAGCACCGTGGTGGGCGTGGCCTTGCTGGTGGCCGCGCTGGCCACGCCCATGAGCGTGTCGAGGCAGAGGCGCCGCCGCCGAATCTCGTGCCGCACCAGTTGCTCCAGCGAGAACAGGTGGTCGTCGTCCGCCTCGGGGGCCGCGTGCCGCATGTACTCGGCCAGGCGCAGCAGGTACTCCACGTTGTGGCCCGTGGCGCCGCGGCACTCCACGATCTGGTGCGCCATCAGGGGAAGCGGCGCGTCGCCGAGCCACAGGCGGTTGCTGGGCGTGGCCACGTAGAGCAGCGCGGCGAAGGGCTGCACCGGGACACCGCCGGGGACACCGCCGCCCACGCCGGCGTCGTCTGTGGACAGGGAACAGGGGAAGGCACCGTCAGTGTGAGTCGCTTAAGGGCGCTCTGACTGGAGCGCCTGCGGCGTAGGCAGCCGCCACTGCAGCGCGCACGGCCGCCGAGCGTGCTGCCTACGCCGCATTACCATTGACACTAAGGGCTAGACCACACATCTCGCCGCGCAGACTCACCGAGGCACGGCCGCTTCGGGAAGAAGGTGGCGAAGTTGGTGATGTAGCCGCCGAGCTTGCACTCGCGGTTGGCCAGGTACGGCAGCGCGGCCTCCCCGCTCAGCTCGAAGGCGCGGCCCCAGACGACGCCCTGCAACAAGGAGAGACAAAGGACCGCGTTAGCGCCCAGCGGCCAGAGAAACGGCCAAACGGCGCGCCCGGCCGGGTGTTGAACCCGCGACCGCGACGGCCGACGGCGACGCACGGGAAAGCCAAACCGTGGCGTCAAGGCCGGCTGGGCAGTCACCTTGCCGCCGAGCGGTCGACCTGCCGGCCCGTTTGGCGGAGCGCGAAGCCTGGCGAAGCCTTCCGGACGGCTGCGCCAGGCTGCGCTTGCACTCCCCACCTGGCGCTGGCTCGCGCCACGCGCTGGCCGACATCAAGACGTCTGTCAGTGTCTAGGTCCGGTGCGACGTCGCAGCCGCCGCTGGCGGGGCTGGCGGACCGCCAAGCGCGTGCCTGATCGGCAACCTTGCTATCACCCCTCGGTAACAACACACAGCCCCGCCTAGGCCCGTAGGCCCAGTGGGCCAGACGGCACTTGGAGAGCCACCGCCGCTATCGATAGCCTATCGCCGCGACGCAGCAGACTGGCTCCGAGAGTCGTTCTCGTCGCTCTGTCTCTCTCGCACTCAGGGGGCGCCGCGTGCCAGTGCGAGAGAGACAGGGCGACGAAACCGACTCTCGGAACCATCTGCAGACGACCAAGTGCAGCGACTGCGGTGCTCAACAGTGTAGTCTGGCGGCGTGCCACAAGTTCGAAAACAAGACGGCCCGGGCAGGAGTCGAACCCGGGGGCGCCGTTTTGCTTCCTCATTCGCAAACAGGCGGCACGCGACAGTGACAGTGCCACTGCTGGACCAGTGGGCCAGTGGAGTGGACCGCAAGATGTGCTGATTCACTGATTGCTCCGGGCACGCCAAGCCAAGCCACGCACGCCACGTCATACGCCGCTGCCGCTCATCGGTACAGTGCAGTGGTTAATTTCCGAGAAACATGTGACCGAGAGACCCCAGCGGACCTGCAGACTCATTCCGAGAGTCGTTTTCGTCACTGTCTTTCTCGCACTCATGGAGCGTCCCGCATAGGTGCGAGAGAGACAGGGCGACGAAAACGACCCTCGGAATCTATCGGTTGCCTGCGCTTGGCGTTAGTACAGCACAGACAGCCCGCCACGCTGGCCGCGGGGTGGGTGCCTGGGGCTGTGCCTTGGGCCCCAGAGGGCCTGCTCGGTGTCCCCGCAGCCCTGCAGCATTGGGCCGCGACGGTGATAGGCTCACGCGGCCCTCAGGAAGGCCCTTGCACAGTCCAGGGTCAACTCACTTCGGTGATTGACGCAGAGCGGCCAGCGCGGCCAGCCCGACGCAGAGACAAGCCCCGGGTTCAAACACTGGCCTCTTTCTTTTTCCTTTTCCACGCCCCGCGGCTCGCTGCCGCTGCTGGGTTGAGGGTCTCGGCCGGGAAGGGAGGTCGCCCAGGGCGGCCGTCCGCACGGGTCAGCGGTCAACTCATCCAATAATTGCGCATGTCACGTCGCCGCGCCAGGCGTCAGGCAGGACGCCGTCGACGCCGTGGCGGTGGAGTCACGTCGTCCCCGCCGCCCTTGCCGCCTTCACACAGGCCGTGTTAGCGACCGGCCAGCACGCTAGAAGCGGCAGCGGCTGCCCCTGATTCCGAGAGTCGTTTTCGTCGCTCTGTCCCTCTCGCGCTTATACCCATGAGCGCGAGGGAGACAGAGCGACTCCTCGGGATCAGTGTGCTGTGTACGACATGCAAGTCTTTCATTGCCCAATGGGGGCCACCCGTTTGTTGACAACGCTGACAACCACCCGCCACGCGCCGAGGAGGGTCCGTCAGCGAGAGTGAGAGTGCACCCACCGTAGGTAGGCCTTAAATTTCATTTTCGATGCATCGAAAATTAATTCCTACGTAACATAGATAAAGATCTGGACACCCATAAAAGTTTGTGAAAAATAGTGAGACTGCATCAGGCGAAGAGTGCAGAAAAAAGTAGACAAACTAGCAGTTACTGTATAGTACCACTGACGTAGGAGTGCGACAGAGACAGAGCGACGAAAGCCCGTCTGCAACAAACACCCCGCCTTCAGGCTTCAGGCCTGGCGTGCTTGGCAATCGCGTGAGTCGCGTGTGTGTTTTCAGTGTCCACGTGAACACCACTCCCGGACCGACTGATCCTCGCCGATGCTCGCCCGAAATTCCTCCGCCGCGGTGGTCAGTTTTCTCTTGGCGCGCGCGAACACACTCTCACACACACACACACACGCACACACCGACACGGAGACAGCAGCACCCGATTTGCCGCACTGGGCCTAACTTTAGCGCGGCGATGCGATCAGTGCCGTGCGTCGCCAAGTGGTTGCTTTCCACAATCGGATCATCTCCACGTGTCGCGAGACAAACGATGGACCGCGTGGCGTGGCGCGGCGTGGCACGGCGTGGCGCGGCCCATCACAACACGGCCTGGCAGCGCGCCAGAGACGAGCGGCGTATCGCCAAAGGCGGCCAAAGGGAATCCACTTGTTGTTCGGCCATCGTATTGACATTATACGGGACACCCGCGGCGGCCCGCCGTGCCCGCCGCCACTGTCGAGCCCAGATGGAGAGACAACAGCGACGCCACGTAACCAATCACACCGAAATCACACCATCAAGCATCCGATTGGCGCCGCTTTTGATTTTGTTGTGGTCGCCGCGCCGGCCGGCGGTCCGGAGTCCGGAGGACGACCACTTTCCGGAGCCGGTACCGCAGCCCCGCATCCCGCACGACAAAGTCGTCACGTTCCGTTCCGCTTCGCTTTTCTCGCGAGGAGCCGCCAAGTGAATGACTATCAATTTCAGTGCGAATATTCCCGCGGAAACGAGCATTTCGCAGCCTGCTGCACTGTCGCGTGGTTTTCATTTTCCAGAGTGCCTCCCCGCAGGACTGGCACACGCGACGACGCGAGCGGGGTGGGGTGTCTGGTAGTCTGCAGGTCTGTAATGAGATACTCACATCTTTCTCCTCGACGAGGGTGGCTACTCGTCCAGGCTGCAACAAAAGGACAAGCACGAGTCAGTACACTGCCGGTGGACAGACAGACAGGCGGACAGACAGACAGACAGGTGGACAGACAGACAGACAGACAGACAGACAGACAGACAGACAGACAGACAGACAGACAGACAGACAAACAGCGGGCAGACAGACAGACAGACGCAGGGCCCAGGCAGGGCCTCGCGGACGGAATCCTCATGAAATCCGTTTCCGAAGACTTTTTCTTAACGCCCTCTCCAGCTGCGTCGGCCAGTCACCCCGCCCGTATCAATTCTTCAAAGTGGCCCTAAATGGGGCAGCGCTGGCCAGCGCGCCCCTGCCCCTCCGCGACGCGCAGCCAACGAAGCCTTGCCAGCCACCACCGCGCGGTGCTTGCCCCCGACCAGGATCGAACACCCAAAAAACGGAGCCATTCAGTGGCGGGCAGTGCCAGGGCAGTGCAAGGCAGCGCCTCGCAGAGCCACTCGAAGGCTCTAGAGTGGCGGCACTGTAAAAGCGAGACGGCGCCGACGAACGTGGACGTACGTAGAATGTGTGACGTGGGCGCCGCCACCTGTCCCAACAGACGGGCCGGCGCGGCGGCACGTTTCAGGCTGCACGGCGGACACGGTGCGAGGCGCTACTTTGAATCAAGGAATTTCCGCGGCTGTTTGGGAATGTTTTGGCCGCGCGGCACGGCCCCACCCCGAGGCAGCGCGCCCCAGCGCGCCCCAGCGGGCCCCAGCCCCGGGCGTTCGACGCGAGCGTGGCGTGGGCCTCGGTGAGCCTCCACTATCGCTGCAGCTGGGCATGCAGGCCTCCGAGCAGGCCTCCGACACCGTCCGACACCTCCACGTCGCTCTGCACCGGGGCGGGCGAGGCAGGGCGAGGCAGGGCGAGGGGCAGGGCGCCCCTCAACGCCGCTCCACCCCCTCAAAACCTGTTGGTGCGGCGACGTGAACCGAATGCCGTTCGGCTCGGCACCCTGTGGGCACCCTCCTCTAATTCAGTCGCCCCGCCCCATCGGAAATACGCCGCGCGCTTTTTTTCCAGCGTACCTGCCGGGCAGCACGCGGCGCGCCACGCTCTGCGGACTGAGAGTCGTTTTCGTCACTCTGTCTCTCTAGCACGGGACGCCCCATGAGTGCGAGAGAGGCAGGGCGACGAAGACGACTCTATACTGGTCTATGGGAGTGTGGGGACTGGGAAGGGCTTTTCGAATCCAGTGGCGCGGCGCGTTGTTTGTGTTGGTTGCCGGGCCGAGGGGGGCCGAGGGTGCAGGGGTCGACCGGCCTAAGGGCCCGCCCCACTGGGGGCCCACGGGGAGCATACCGATATCCCCGCGAACCCAATATCGCGAATCGGCGTGGCGTGGCGCGGCCCCGCAGGGAGCGGTGGATATCGCGGACCCCGCCCCGCCCCGCCCCCCCCCGCCCCGCCCCGCCCCGCCCCGCCGCGCCGCCACGCGGTTGCTTCACACGGCGACCGCGGACGTCCGTCACAGCCAAGCGCCACGCTCAGCGCGATCTGCCCGTTTTTGCAGCCGCAATTGAAAAAAAGACACTTAAAAACGGCCGAGTCGAGCAGCGGAATCGTGAAGAAATGTCGCGCTATTTGTTTTCCCTCGATTCCGTTATACTGCGCGTTTGGCTCGGCTTTTGTCCGCCAAATGATGGCGGGCAGATAGCTGCAAAGCTGCAGCCGGGAAGGCCAGGAAGTGCGCTGGCTGGCTGCGCTGGTAATCAGCCCTTTGATAAGTGGACCTGCAGTCCGATTCCGAGGGTCGTTTTCGTCGCTCCTGTCTCCCTCGCGCGCACGGGGCGCACCCACATGGGTGCGAGAGAGACAGAGCGACGAAAACGGCTCTCGGAATCGGCCTGGCTGAGCTGCCATGATTGGACGGCCCGCCATTTGGGCGACTCATGCAGGGCGTGCGGGGCGGGCGGGGCGGGCGGCACTCACAGATGGCCATACAGTGCGGGCGGCACCTTCTCTTTGATTGGGGCAGCAAGCCGGCAGTGTAATCAGCGCGCCGGTACGACTACACACACGTGGACGACGGCACACTCGCAAAAATCAACTACAGACTCAATTTAAATGGACTTTGGCGATCTCGTATCGGTGTTTACTGTTTTTGTTTACGTAAAAATAAAAAGCGCGAGTCGATGCGAATTCCGTCAAGTTTGTACGACTACCGCGCTGCCGCCTGGCCGCCGCCCATGCGAGACACATTATTGCCGTCTTGTTGGACTTCCCCCTCCACAGCACGCGCGGGACGCGTGGCCAGGCTGCCGCCCCCTCCCTCCTCTCCCTTCCGCCCCCCGGACCGTTCCCGCGGCCAGGTTAAAATAGATCCAGAGTCTATGCCCCTTGGGCTTGCGCCGCCGAGCGCCGCCTTGCGCGCCATCGCCGGGACGGCCAGCACGGCCAGCACCCCACCCACGGAAGACGCCGTCCGACGCCGCCCGGCCCGGGGTTCCCTGGGGAGGAGGGGAGCCCGGCGCTCCTTAGCGCTTTTCCGCAACTCGGAACTTCCGTGGCAGTCTTTACGCACCCCGGCGCCCTGGCGGCCCGGCGGCCTGCTAAGTGCAGCCCACACTGCAAAGCACACAGCCCCGCGCAGGCCGCCAGGATCGACGCGCTTCACCTCGCCTGCAGCCTGACTCCGAGAGTCGTTTTCGTCGCTCTGTCTCTCTCGCACTCATGGGGGCGCCCGGTGCGGGTGCGAGAGAGACAGAGCGACGAAAGCGACTCTCGGAATCGGTGTGCTGCTGGTCGTCGGCCCGCGTTCGTATTTTCGGCGCGTCTTGACCTGGTTCCCCACAAGGCCGGCGAGTGCCCCGAGTACATGGGGTGCGGTGCGCCCTGTGTGCTTTTCATCATGCCGGCATACAGTGCGCTGCGCGGCGCCGTCGCGGCGGCCAGCTTCTCTGGGCTCGACGGCGAGGTGCCACCCGCCCCGCCGGCCCCGCCGGCCCCGCCCGCCACTCGGACGGCAAGTGTCGTCGCCGACGCCGTGACCGGCCTCAGGGCCACGACGACGTCGGCGACGGTCGGCGAGCGCGATGACGCCAATATGACGACAACGCGTCACGCGTCGGGCGACGCGACAAAGCCCTCCCCGTCGATAATTTCTTTAAGTAACAATTTCTCACTCGGGGAACGCCAAGTTTTGACAGGCGCGGCGTCCCGGCTGAGCCTCCCCGGCACCTGTTGAGTGTTGCAGCCCCGTCCCCCGGCCTAGGCCTCCACTCCGGCCGGTGATGTTCTTTGCTCCCCCGGGCAGACTGATTCCGAGCGTCGTTTTCGTCGCTCCGTCTCCCTCGCACCCACACGGGACGCCCCATGAGCGCGAGAGAGACAGAGCGACGAAAGCGACTCTCGGAATGAGTCTGCCGGCGCGAAGCGAGACCACAGATACGGCTATCTGCTCAGCTGTTTTGGTGCGCTCAGCATGCTCCGGCCGCTCTGCGCGCGCTATCGGTGTGACCAAATAATTGACTGCCCGTCCGTCCGTCAAGTTCGAGGAAAGGCGCTTAGCTCTATTTGCCCTCTGGAATCGGTACCGGATTCGGGATTCGGTATCCGAAAGCGAAAGCGGGTAAATTCGGGAAGCTTTCGGGGAACCGCAACCGGATATAGCGCGGCTTGAATAGGCCGAGGCAAAGAGCAGCAGAGCGCAGCAAAAAGCCCCGGGCCTAACAGTGGGCCGATTCCGAGCACTGCGTTTGTGGCTGTCTCTCTCGCACCCTACGGGATGCCCCATGAGTGCGAGAGAGACAGCGCGACAACAGCCGCGGGGAATCCGGAGCGAACTCCGGCGGATTAGCGGGGAGGCGTTGCTTGTCGTTCCCGAAACACGTACAGGTGGCCGCGGCACGACACGTCGGGCTCCCGAGAAGCCGCGGACAGAATTCCTCCACTTTTTCCAATTTTATTTTTTACGACTTTTGGGGGCACTGTATTTTTTTAGAGCGCCTGGCCGTCGCGTGCGCGAGATACAAGCCTGGCCGCAGAGTTCGCCGACTTGAGTGATAAGTGGCCGCCAACGACGGGCGACAGGCGTGGACCCGTTTCGCACCTTCGGCCGCATTCGCACGTAATCTCAACAACGGGCTAACCATTTCCGCAATGAAAATGAGACGCCTGAGTGGGTGTTCGAACCCGGGTCCGACTGACAGCGTCTCCCGGGGAGGATCAGTGACTGACCGCGGTTCAATGCCATCGCGTGGAGCCCTGGCCGCGTAGGCCGACCGCGCGACCGCGGCCACGCACTTATAGCTACACTGCACCGCGAGCCACGCATCGTTCCCACGGACTAGCATCGATTCACAGTGTGGGAACGCCAATAATCGAAGCCTCGCGCCCTGCGCCCTGAGACGAGCTGCCTTTGCAGTGCAGGGGACGACGGCCCTCGTCGCTCTTTCTCACTCGCACTCGAGAGCGGCCAGGGCCTTGGCCAGGGCCACGCGACAGAGCGATGACTGCGCTCAGTACCCAGCGCCTCCGGTAGACTGCGCGGCGCCTCTCGAGCCGGGAGGACTTCCCCGTGACAATGTCTCCAAGTGGGTCAGCTGATAGACGGCCGGCCGGTCGGAAGGCCGGCACCGCCGCGCCGTGCCGCCGTGCCGCGCCACGCCACGCCCCCCCGCCGTGCGTCAGTGCGTCTGCGACGTACCTGGTTCTCGGTGCCGCGGTGCGTGGTGTTGCCCTGCCAGAACTTGCGCGCGTAGCCCTTGATGTAGCCGGTGACGGAGCGGTGGAAGTCGAAGCCGGGGTGCCAGCAGAGCGAGCCGTAGCCGAACACCCAGAGCCCGGACGTGGCCGCCGAGTCCGCGTCCCCGGCGGCGTGCGCAGCGTGCTCGGCGTTCATTTCAAGGTGAAGGTGGGCGACGGGCTGGAGAGGAGAGGTTATGGACCGCCGTGGGGCCGGCTGGGTCGTCGTCACCGCTGCAGTCTCTCAGGGACCATCCGACGGTCCAGTCCAGGAGCGGCGCCGCGCTGGGCCAGGGGCAGCCGCTGGTTCAGGCGTCGCTTTGACAGCAAAACGAGAGCCAAGTCGACACGCGTCGAGAGGAGAATGCACTGGGGCGCGTGCGGAGTGCGGAGCAGTGTGGAGCGTCGGGCACTGGCTCGGAGAGAAACTGCCGGTCGAGTGAGTGAGTGAGGAGGGGCCGGGGGCCGCGCGCCGGGCAGCGCAGAGCGGGCGGCGGGCGCCACTTTCAGCCCCCCTCCCCCTCCCGCCGTCCCCCAAGCGGCCGGCGCGGGAACGCCGGCTTTGAATCCGATTGGCCGCCGGGCCCGGCCGCCAGAGGGCGCGTCGCGCGTCGCTCGGCCCGGCGGCACTGCGCACGTGGGGCCCGGCTGATGTAACGTCGGCGCCAAGTTTCGACGCCAGCCCTGCCGGCCTGCCCCGCCCGGCGTCGCCCTTCGTGCCTTGGCGTGGCCCGGTGCCGTGTTGTCAAAACTAGGCGGCGCTGCAGCGGCGCGACGCGACACCCCGCCGGGCCGGCCAGCCGCTTTGTGGGTCTAGGTCAATGACTCGCGGTGCCGTGGCCGCGGTGCCGCGGTACGCACCGCCAGTCAGCTGTCGCCGAGGCTGTCGCCCACAATCGGACAAACCGCGACGCCGCAACGCCACTTGTGACGTCACGGCCCATTGGCCGCTTGCACCTCGCCAGTGCTGCAAGGCAGCGCCTCCATATCAGGGACACGGGCACGGCCAGATCTGGCTGACGCAAGCGGACGCGCGCACCGGATCAGGCCAGATCTGGCGCCGATTGGAGGGGGACTTCTGGCGAGCTCTTGACCGTCGGAAAAACACCGGCCAGATCTGGCTCGCGTGTGCATGTCCTTTACGTAAGTGGCCAGATCTGGGAAAAACACTTGATCTCGGATATGGTAAACAGCTTGATGACGCACGCCAGATCTGGCCTTCCCCCACCTCCCGTCCATTCTGCGCGCTTCGGCGTCTTACTGTACGGAAGACCTTGGCGTCGTCGACTGGGTTGCCGGGTCGGCTGTGGAGAATAACGGGGCCGAATATGGAAGCTCAAAAAACGCATGCAAGTAACGGTTTGATAATATTTATTTTTAAATAATATTACAAAGTACGTTATAAATTACTGAGACAGGTTCTACAGAACAGGCGGGCCCGTCCATGCAGCCTTTGCAATAATGGATAGAGCTGCGATTTACTACCATATTATAATTAGCTCTCCAACGAGGCCATACTCGTCCACGGTTTTTTTTATGTAAAACAAAGAAAAAAAGTTAGCACTTAGTATTCCTGTGGTGCTAGCACTAGTCGGCGTTACATTTCGTGGTTGTTTTTTGGCACGAGTGCGAATACCATGATATGAGATAACCCACTCATTTAATAAACAAATGTATGACCAAATGGTCCCTACACTTTGGAGACTAGAGACACAAGTTGTAGTCGCAACGGTGTCAAAATGCCCAAAAATTAAAAACAATCTAACTAAGTTGTAAGAGTGACTAACTACATTGTGCATAAATCTCAAAAAGTGATAATTCATACCTCCAAACCGCCTTAAGACCGCAATGCACGACTATAATCAAAAGATGTCTCCTACTTAATTCGCGTTTATAAAATTATATACGTACATAATGTGTGTTACAGTTTTAGAACGAGTTCTTGAGTGTAACAGAGATGGACCACCAAAGTGACTTTTATCGCTCGTAATAAAAAGTAAATACATAATCAATGACGTTATTGTATAAATTTCATCGAAGGAAGGAAACCGTTATTGTTACCAACATGGTCCTACTGAAGCCCCTGAACTGCACAAACTTCCCATGCAGAGGGCGTCTTACGTCACTGCTGATGAATGGGCACCCAGACCTAATGTTCTCTCCTGCTAAACGTAATAATAGAACACTTTGCATGACCGATGGGGTCTGCTATCGTGGTCCCGTTCCGGCCCATCAGGCTGTGGTTTACCGGGGCAATCCCAGCCCGAATACTCTTTACTCAATTTTACTATTCAGTTGTACTGGCCACGGTGCGAAATCGAAGAGAAATCCGATTGTGGCCATAATTCCTAGAATAATATTGATATGAACCTACGCCATTATTGGAAATTATACAGAAATGACTAGTGTTCCTTCTTTTTAAATGTGTGCAATCTCTGCCGCGTACTGTTTAAGCAGCTCTTAAAAGCGCCAGATCCTGTTCCGAATACAGGCAAAATGGCATAAAGTGCTGAATGCCAGTAGTCTCATAACAAAATTAACAGACAACAAGATAGTTTTGTTGGGAGAGCGCACCCCGCAAGGCAATATCTGTTTTAAATACAAGAATAGTGTCATATATCAAAACGTATACTCTACATGAAATAATTGTTATCTTAATTAGTATCTTACAAAAATTGGATAAATTAGGCGTTTAAGGATCGCATGTAACTACAAAGTGGTCGTGAGAATAAGTACTGAACCTATCGATAAATGTTGTTACTGTAAGGCTGTGACATTCTTAAACTTTACACTTTCTTTGGACTGCTAAGCGAGCGTGACACAATGATAATCCACGAGATGGAGCCATTCCCCAGACCAGCATCATACAGGCAAATTTTGAAATTTTGAAATCGAGGGTGAGGACAAATTTAGGGGCCAAAAATACCACGGCGCTTTAAGGACGGCAAACCATTACCGAGGCCAGTGGAAAATGGTAGGGTGCCTGATTCGGGTCAAAAAGGGTGGCTGTTTCCAATTCGTCTGTCACTGTCATTGGTAACTATCGAAGCTACAAATAATTTGTGTCGAAAGGATAACGTTATGAATCCTATATTATTGTCACACTTTTTCTCGATTAGCAATATGAAATAGCTCGAGATTTCAGAGAACCAAAGCCATTGCTTATCGCTTAATAGGCCTTGGAGTTTCGGGAGGCAGCATTCAATGAAGAGCACCAGGCAGAAATAGAAATGCCTTTGAGTCTACTTTGTAAGACGCGTATGAGCTAGCATAACCGCGCACACTAGGAGTAAAGCGATGTACGGAAAAGGAACGTGCACGAAGTTAATCTGACGAGTGCCGGCGAGCGAGGGAAAGATTAAGTGACTTTGTTTAGGATCACTGTCCTTACAAGAATCACTAATAAGAGGAGTTTTATCCCAGATAGGCAATATTTGAAACAAACGGTGCGCGTTCGTAACTTAATAAATATTAAGTTATGATAAAAACGGTTGGGCGGTTCTTCCCTTCATTAAGTTTACGAAAACTTGACATTTTAACAAAGTACTATGTCGTAGCTCAGTACGAATGGGACAAAAATATGAATATGCAATACCCTGTGTTAAAGCATAAAGACCACTCTTTGCTGTGTGCTTAATTTCACACCCTGAAAACAATTGACCAAGAAATTGTGGTGCCTCGGTAATACATTCGAGTGCGCCAGCAAATTAGATACCTGCGATTACTATTTCAATAATATTCAATAATGTTTATACTAAGTGATTACGGAAAACGAGAAAAGGGGGTGCTATCGTAATACTTAAACGAATAGCGGCAAACTACAGTTAACGAATTAATCTAAAATAACCACTTGTACTTTTACTTAATACGAAGGTGGAACCAAGTTAAGGGGTTGGTTACCATATGATGAAACCGGAATCGCTAGACATGTCTAGTCTTTTCAAGACAGAATATTCTTGACGGAACTGAGTATGCAAAACTTAAAGTATTTTATATCACAACTTGTTGGCACCTAACAGACTGGCGTCATTCATTGTGTGACCACATTATGAGGAATAAGCACGATTAATCTGAATTTGTGTATGTCTTTGCCCGTCAATTGTACAAACTCCAAAACGGTTGGCGACTTAACATGTAATAACTGGATGAAAGCACATGCCAGAGGAATGATAGTAAGTATTGAAACGGGATACAGGGGAATGTGCAATTTTGGTCAAAGGAGTTTCGTAGATAAATGAAAAATTGGTTCATTATATTGTTAGAGAAAGAGCAGCCACCTTCGTAACTAACAAGCAAGTAGGCCTCGGAGAAAGATGGTATTGGGAAAACAAGGGTCAGCTTGGGTGTCAGTCATAACATCAGACCTGAACTAGTACGCAAATGTACTATCAGGGAGTTGTACATTCCGAGAAAATGATAAATTGTAACAGTTAGGACTATAAAATTACAGTGATTCTGTATAGATTAAAGCTACACAGGTTTAAAAGACTGAAACTCTTGAAAATCGACTATTATCAACTACTGATGACTAGATTTCCTTTTTTTAAAAAAGAGATAACCAAACAGTGAGCATGCAAGCTCCTAAAATTTTAATAAATCCAACATGTGCTAATCAACTAAATTGAGAGTAAATCACGTCAAAACTCGCAGTATTAGCCTCGTAGATAGAATATCACTATAAAATCACTGTAATAATAATAATAATAATAATAATAATAATAATAATAATAATAATACAAGAATTATGAGAGAGCTCTCTGGCAGTTTCTTTATGAAACTGAATTCAGAATGAATTAGTAAACGTTACTATACTTATACCTACAGTAAATGAGTTATGAATAAATAAATATATCTTGTATGTCATATGGTTGGTACTTTACTTATTTTCTACACCCTTTTGCATCATTTTTAAACAATTGTACGAAGATTTTGTCAAGCAATGTCTCCGTTCTAAGTTGACGGTTGCTACCTTCGATTGATCAGGTACATCATTTGACGTTGTTAAACAGTTCAAATTTGAGAACGTGCAAGTCAATCAATGAAATGCGCAACAAGTCAAGAATAAAAACGGCTTTTCCTAATGCTCCCTTCCACTGCAATTAGTTTAAGGACGCAAAGTGCATCTACTCAAGTCAGTCGAGTAGAATGCGTAAAATGCGGAAGGCTTCCTATAAGGAATGGTAACAAAACAAGTACTGCGCGCTTTCCAGTGAAATTTCAATGGTGAAAGCGGACTGCTTGCATAGATTTCCTATGCGAGAAATTGAGCTTAATAAGGCCTGCCTATATCTTTGGGCTTCTTGAGCTGGACTTTGAGCCTTTTCATTCCTATTTGGAAACCATTCATTGCTGCAATGGCAGCTTGAGCACTTGATGGATTGTCAAAAGATACAAAACCGAAACACTTGCTCTGATTTGTGACTCGGTCAATGTACACCTTAGCACTCAATACAAGGCCGAACGATAGGAACATTTGACACAGCTCCGCGTCGCCAAACTCTTGAGGTAAGTGGTAGATGAACAGGTTGCAGCCATCTGGACCGAATTTGTTGCCTCCTGGAACAGAAATTATGATAGTAAACAATGTTACCAGGTTTGGAAAAAGACAAAAACGGTGCGGGTTAGTACATACTGTCGATTGATCTACCTTCTCCAGTGGCAATGAGATTTGTCTGCTGATGAGGAGGTGGGCAGCCAGGTGGCGCAACAGTCGGTGTGAACGGTGGGTACACGGGGGCAGGATATGCTGCAACACAAGTGAGCATATCGGTTACTAAAAAGAGCCAACATTAACTTAAACTTCCGGAGCAAGAAAAAACGAAACTTAGAATAAAATCGTAAGTTTTGTTTTCCTGCATGTACAATAAAAATGTATTGAAAAGGAACGAATTTGCTCCAAATGTCAGTAAAAACGTCGAAAAAGATAAAGCACTGCAAAAATTCCACTTAGCTAAATACTACTATAACGACTACCAGGTTCCTGTTGGTTGATACAGCCGGTAACGCTCATAAAACTTGCTTCATAGCATTTGCAGCATGCATCAGCCTCCCCACGCTTTATCTATTCTTTCTTTCAGAATTATTATTGTCGCTCAGCAACATGCAGCTAAACCGTAAAACGGCAAAAAAGTCACAAATCAACTAACTAAAGTTCAAATTTTATTTCTTTTCAAACAGGATGCTTAGTAAAGCGAAAACACGTCTACTGTACTACTTGACAGACCAACAGGCAGGAGAAAGAGAAGAATCGCAAAGTAATGGTTTGATTTTAGTCCCCTGGACAAGTGCGTCTGTCTGTTTCGCGGCTTGTGGCCCGGCAGGCCGGCAGGCCCGGTCTGTGGCTCCGATAGGGCGTCCTCGACTCAACTCACCTACAGGCGGGAAGGGCGCCAGGGCCGAGTAGGCGGCAGGGTGGAGCGCGGCCTCTCCGCTAGTCAGCGCTTGCGCTGCAATTGACAGAGCAAGGCCATCTACACAAAAGTTATTCAATCTCATCACTGGGGGAGCCTCGATTCCCTGTTGTTGGTCGGAGACATCGGCTGAGAAACAATCGTTTTAAAGAAACCATTTAGCAAGTTAGACTTGTTGATGCGGTAAGAGTAGTGTCCGGTTTCATAGAGCAGACAAGAAGTGGTTCCAGATGTATAGGAAGAAATTTAGTGTTTCTCTCATTGTTAAAGTCACGTGAGCTTTCTCTTTAGTTCGAGACAAGAACGAGATTGGAAGCAGAAGTAGTAGGAAAGCACACGAAGAACATCTCTACGGGATGCATAACATTGACATATTGACCACACACCAACAACAGAAGACGTTGACACACCGCTGATACACAAGACTACTCAAACACACTCACTTCTATTTAACCCAGATAACTGTCTCAAAGCCAATTCGTTCTCCCATCACGCCACTATGATTAAATTGACTGAGACAAATGCGAGCAAACGGACAGCAAGAGAAAAAGGAATGAGGTATTCCACCGGAAAGAAGAAGTGAGGCCGCCGCCGGAACATAACAAACCCTCACTTGTTTTCTTTTTTTCTGCTCTGCGCATGCGCAATAACTTCCAAGCAGGAAAAAAAATCGGGAAACAAGAGAGGGACATCTCGGAGATTCCTCAAATGTTCTTTCAGGTGAAATGCCTCATTCACCTCGAAGCGACACCATCCATAGACAAGACCCCGAAGCCCCCCAGAGCAACGGTAACACACGAAGGAAGGGAGAAGGGTGAAACAGTGAAACGCCATTCCGCTAATAGGGCATGCGACTTACGGTTCGGGTAGGCCTGTGGCGCCAGGCCCGCCGTGTACACGGGCGACTCGGACGCGGACGGCTGTGGCGGCTGGGCGGCCACGCTGAAGTTTGGCATGGTGGGCGACGGCAGGCTGGGCAGTGTGCCGGCCTGTCCTGACGGCACGGCGCCGGGCCCGCCGGGTCCCAGGGGGTGCGGCAGCGGCGTCAAGGCCATGTAGGGCGACGCCGTGGCGGCCACGATCGCCTGCTGCTGCGGGCCGAAGAAGGCAGTTAGCATCTCCCTGCACTGCCTCGGGGAGAACGACGTCGAACACGCCGACACGTACCTGGGCGTAGTTGCTAAACGAGGCGAACTGGTTCAACACCCAGGGGCTGAGCACGTTCATGTTGCCGGCCATCTGCTGCATGCGGCGAAGCTGCCGCTCCTTGTCCGTGTCGGCGTACTTGACCACTAGACTCGACGAGGCGCCCTGCAACAGACAAGGGAAGGGAGGCCGTCAGCAGGCGTCAGCAGGGCGTCGAGCGCCAGCGCGCTTTGTTGGAGGCCCTGCAGCCCCCTCGGAAGGAGGGCCGATCCGACGATCCGTCGGCCGCAGGAACGCAGTCGAGCGGACCGGGGCCCCGCGCCACGCCACGCCAGGCCCGCGGGCTGGAATCTAATGCCCCGTGGGGCGCGAGCTCGCGCACAAACAGGTGAGTGCGGTCCAATATGTAGGGAATACCGATATCTCGATACACGGGCGGGGAGGCCTGCGAGGCCTGGAAGGTCCCCGGCCCAGCGCGACCTTGTCGACAAGCGAGGTGTTATTGATTTGAGAATCCCCGCCACGCCCCACCGCGCCCCTGGAGATAGGCAGTGCCTTATTGCTGGGGCTCAAACAACAAAGGGCTAAAGGAGGGGCGCTCCTTGTTTCGATTCGCAGCGTTCGCAGCGTTCGCCCGCCCGGCTCGCCGCCTTGCTGCGGATTCGTTGTAACGCGATAGCAAGCCTGCAAGCCAAGTCTGCAAGACGCGGCAAGACGCGCTGCAGGGATTTGGCGTCCTCATTACGCCCCGAAGCCCCGCCCCGCCCCGCCCCGTTCACAGTCGACCTGGCCATGCATGTTGCATGAGGGCAAAGCAGGGCGATTTGCCGCTCAAATCCCGGCGAGGACGCCGAGCATCATCCGAGAGCGCGTGTCGTGTTCAGAGCGGGGATGAACACGGAGGGGTAGCACAGCAGCAGCGGCAGCAGCAGCCGGTAGAAGGAAAACTGGCGCCCGGCGTGGCGTGGCGGCGCGGGTGTTTGCTGCAAACGAGATCCGTTCCCGTTGGATTGTGCTCGGATTGGCCGCTTTTCCTTTGACCGCAGAGCGTGGCGTGGAGAGGCGTGGCGAGGCGAGGCGTGGCGTGGCGAGGCCCGACCGCCGCCAGACCGCCAGGGCGGCCTCGGAGGCCTCGGGGCGCATCAGTCGCCAACAGGTGGAAGAAGGCACGGCAAGGCACGGCACGGCACGGCGCGGTACGGCACGGCACACAATGGAGCCAGTCAAACATGTGCCAGCTTTATTTTACCACCCGGCCCGCCCCGTATTTGCCGAGTCTTGGGACCTCGAGGCTCTTATCAGGGCCTTTGTTATGCCTGGCCACGTGCGCGGGGCGGGGGGGCGGGGCGGGGCGCGGTGGTTGGCCCGGCCGTGGGAACCGCGCGTCTTCAGTCTGCGGGAGGGGCGCGGTGCAAGAGTCCACCGGACAGCAGCCACGCACACGCAGCGCGTCGCATAGCGGGTGGCGACCAGAGGCCGGCCCGGGTTCAAATACTGACACTGCCATGCAATTTTTCTGAATTCTCGTTTTCAAAACTGACCTATTATTGAACCAATCGATTCATGAGATTGAGTTCTGCTTTCTGTTCCTTCCTGAGGGATGCAAAGCGCCGGGTGGCGAAATAGATTGTTCGAGGGGCGGTGCGCGGCGCCAGGGTTTCCATCCAAGGGCGCGCCTTGCAGCCGTGCGCCCCACCCTCCGGATATAATTTGTTGACTCTACATCCTCACCGCCCCCATTCAAGGCCCTGATCCTTGGATCCTTCGACCCCGTCGAGTGCCCCGGGGCCAACAAGAAAGGATGGCAGCGCTTCGCAAATTTACCCAGCATCCTCCCGCGAGGCCGGGCCGAGGGCCGGGCCGGGTGGAGCAGAGGTGCGCGTCGGGCGGCGTGGCCGAGGCCCGGCGCACAGCGGGCCAGAAGACCGGCGGAGGCGGTCAAAATCCCGGAAGCGTTTTGAGCTCCAGAGTCGCTAAATGGGACTCAAACCAAACGTGTGACCCCACCAATGGATTGCTCTCCGAACGAGGAATCCATTGGTAGGGTCACACGTTCGCTTCGAGTCCTGGAGCTCAAAACGCGTCTGGAGTTTCGGCCCGCTGCGCCGGTCTTCCGGCCCCTTGTGGTGCGCGGCGTGGCCGCGGCCAAGGCCCGGCGAGGCGGAATCGGTTGGAAGCGAAGAACGGCCTGATGAAGGCGGAGGGAACAACGGGCAAGAGAAAACTCCGTGCAGTTCGACTCCACTTTTTCCTCCCATCACCGGAGGCGTAGCCGTGCGGGCTGCCACCTACAGGCAGGGGCTGCGAGCTCGGCTGCGAGTGTGCCGTGTGTGCGAGAGAGAGGAGCTGTGTGCGTGTGTGGCGCTGTGTGGCGCTGTGTGCGGCGGTCGGGCTGGGCTGATAGCAGTTGCACTTGACACGTGTTCCAACACGTGTACACTGTACAGGCGCGGGGCTGGCGGGGCTGCGCGGGGTGGGCAGGTCACTCCCGACCCCCCACCCAATCTGTTACACCGGCGGGGAGGGGGAGGGTCAAGGGAGGGCGCGACACGGGGTACATAAAAGGATAAACATCATCGTTTTAAACAACATCAGCAGCAGCACACCGCCGCGCTCCATTCAAACTTGGCGGCGAACTTGTCCCGCTGCAAAAGTACTGCCGCGCGCCGGCGGGGCGGGTTCCGAACGGGGCTCTGGCCGCTCCGTCCCTCTCGCGGCCTCGCGGGACGCCGCGCGAGTGCGAGAGAGAGGGACGGACGAGCGCCCCGTTCGGAACCCGCCGCGGCAGGAATGTCCGCAATAAATCGGGGCGAGGGGGTCGGCGCTGGGGACGCCGCCGTCTGGGGGACGCCGGGGACGCCGCCGGGGACGCGGCCCGGACGGCACCGCGGCGAGGTGCGGCGATAGTGTCTCCGCGGGGCGGCCAGAGCGGCCGGCGGCCACGCCGAGTGAATTACAGGGCCGTTTACGAGGACTCTTCTTCCCGGCCGCCCCGCCCCGCCCCGCCCCGCCCCGCCGGTACGAGTCCGCGGGGACTGCTGGACCGGTGGGCCGGGCCCTTGCCGACGATTCGGCGCGGGACTGCGGGGCACTACACTGCAAGGGCACTGTGCGGTGTGGGCGGGGCGGGGCGCGGCGGGGAGGAGGGCGGTTTTAGGAGTAATCCGCGTCAAGTATGGCTCCCTTTACGGGCCGGGCATTAACTTTCGGAAAACGCGCGCCGCCGTAACTGTGCGAGTGTGTGTGAGTGTGATGATACCTGCACGAGGAGAACAAGGGCCAAGGCGCGGCGTGGGCGCGGCGTGGACGGAGTGGTAATGACGGAGAGGGGGCGGGGCGGCGGATAAGAGAGAGAGAGAGAGAGAGAGAGAGAGAGAGAGAGAGAGAGAGAGAGAGAGAGAGAGAGAGAGAGGACCTTAATGAACGCGCGCTCGCTGAAAGCTCAGGAGCCGTGGCGGAGGGGGGGGGGCGCCACAAGCCAGGCCACACACAGCCAGGCCCAGCCGGGCCCAGCCCACCTCGCTCTGCTCATATTGCTGCCACATGACCGGACTCCGGGAGCCATCAGCCACCAACCCCTTTCCTGTGATAACTACCCCCACCCCAGTGGGGATTGAGGGTGTAGGTGCGTGTGTGTGAGTGAGCGCGCGAGAGTGTGCAAGAGTGTCCGGAGTGAGCGGCCTGGATTTCATGTGGGGCGATTACTGAGCCCGCTAACACCCCCTATCCATCCAGGCCTCTCAGCCCCCGTTGCACGCGTGAGTAAGCCCGCAGCGGGGCCAGGCTGGGCCGTGGAGCGAGGCCGTGGAGCGAGGCCGTGGAGCGAGGCCGCAGGGCCGGGGGCACTTGGGGGCAGGCCTCGCCCAGGCACGCCCAGGCACGCCCAGGCCTGGGGCCCCGCGGCCTGGCCCCATATGCGGCCTAGAGGATGGCAGGCCCGGCGGCGCCCGGCGGCCATGGCGGCAGACAGGGATAATCGGCGATATCTGACGCGCTGCCGCCGGGCCCGCCGGGGAGGCACGGCCGCCCCGCAGCCGGGACGCGCGTGCAACTGTTGTGGCCCTTCGCCTCCCCCTCCCACTTTTTTCAGCACTCCAGCAGTCCCGCGAACCGGAAACGGGAAATGGAGCGAAAATGATTAGGGGTGTGTCGGGGCGACCGCGCTTCTGAGCCTGCCGGGCCGCCAGGCTGCTGCTGGGGAGCAGTTGGAGCGGAGAGCGGGCGAGGCCATGGGCGGGCCTAGGTGAGTGACTAGCACGAAATAGAAAGAGATCCTCGCGGCAGCGGCAGCGCGCCTCTCCAAACGACCGGGGCGGAGTGGGGCGAAAAACGTTTGTGTGTTTTTGCGGCTCCTAATGTTCCACCGCTGCACTACTTAGCCGACCCAGAGGCACCGCGGCGCGGACGCGCGGACCAGCGAGCGCGCAAACTAGGTAAGAAGAGGCGCCTGCAGGCTGCTGTGTGTGTGTCTCTCTCTGTCTCTCTCGCACTCGCGGGGTCGGCCGCAAGGGTGCGAGAGAGACAGCGCAGGCGCTGGGGTGAGTTTGGGGGTGTGGCCGGCCACGTGGTGCGAGTCCCACGACCTACCATCTCCATATTCCTGCCTCCGGGCCGCGGCGTGGCGGGGCGTGGCGGGGCGTGGCGGGGCGTGGCAGGGCGTGGCGGGGCGTGGCGGGGCGTGGCAGCAAAGCAACAAACGCCTCCAAAGGGAGCGGGGCGGCACGCAAGCAGTAGCAAACAGATAACGCCCCCTTCAGGCGTCCAGGCCTCCGCCTTCAACAGTGCGATATTATTTGACATCTCAACCACAGTCGCGACCGCGGAATGCGATGCTGCCGAGGCCGCGTCCGTTTGAATCTCGAGCCACAGCCGATACGACGTGAATCTGAAGGTGGATCAGCCCGACCCGAAACCAGGCCTCATGATTCCGCGTTGAAACGATTTCGTCGTGTCACATTCCTGGATTCGTACGCCCACACAAAGCGTGTGTCCTCGTCGCTGGACTGGCACCAGCCAGCGGTTTCAGCCTTGCAAGTTCCATTGCAACAAAAAGTTCAACACCCACCGGCTAAAAGCGGACGAAAATCCCGGACGCGGTTTGAGCTCCGGAGTCGCCAAATGTTACTCTAACTGGACGTGTGACCCCATCAATGGATTGCTCTCCG